ATTGGTGGGTTTTTACGGAGAGTTTGGTATTTTTTCGCACAGCGGTGTCCGCGGGTCTGTAGCTGTTAGCGCGATCCCTGGGAGGATCATTTTTAGGCATTTTATAAGGGCCGCTAGGGTAATACTTGGACGCTATTGAGGCATAAGTGGTTTGGCATTTTGGGGTAGCTGAGTGTCTGGGCTGAGGGTGAGTGGTTGTAGCTGCTTTATGTGCGGTCTTGTCCTTAGGACTAATAGCAGTGTCCGACGTGCCTCCGTTTTTTTGGGGGGCAGTGTATGATATTTTAGGGTTTGTGCAGTGACAAGAGCTGTAGCTGCCACGGCTACGTAAGCTGGGTTGATCAGTTTGTGTTCCATTGCAGATTCGACGCTGGATAGCGGTCCTGTCATGAATGATCCTAATCTTTTTAAATGTTGGAATACGCCTCAGTAATGACTGACTATTGAGGAGGTGATTAGCTTCAGTGGTGCTACCAAACTGAAATAGAATGGGACAGGAGGCTTTAGTGTGTGCCTTACGTAATCTTCTTGTTACACACCAAGATTGCGACAATCCACATTCTTGTAGCAGAGTATTTTTAGCAATCTTTATGTTCGTACTATCAGGTATATTATACACAATAACATTCTGCATACACTGAAGTCTTTTCAACACTTCAGATGATATATGGTCAATTACTTTTTCAGTGTTTTTTATAATTTCCAGATCGGGATTTTCTGGAACACTGATTAAATATTTGTAAGGTAATAGGTCTTGAATAGTTTGGGTGAGGCTAAGTTCTGTTTGGCTGCTTTTAGGTCTACCAGTGGTGAGATTATCGGAGTTTATATCAAAGTTTCTAAGGTCGATATGGTTACATACAGGCCTGTTGCAGGTGTCTAGCGGATGTTCACTTTGTGCACACTTAGTTGGGGGATGGGGTATATGTCTGGGTGAGTAGTCAAGATCTACATCACCGGGCTGGCTATTGTAGGCAGGCTTACATGTACTCCGTGGGCCGCTACTCAGGATGGCCGATTGTGAGATTGCTGGGTGTTTGGGATCAACAGCACTGTCTAAATACTGCTCACAACATGCGGTGTTTTTGTTTGGACTGACAAATGATGTCGACTCTAACGGTATGTGACTGCTCTTATTTATATCGACAAGCGAGATGCAAGGTAGTGATATGTCTTGTCCAAGTAAACGGTGCACGTTTAGTGTGGCTGAGGGAAGATCAGAGTAGGATGCAGACTGATCAGTGTGTTTATAAGGTTTCACATTATTCGCTTTAGTGACTGATTTAGATCTTTTGCAGGTGCTATAGGCATCAGGAGAGATTATATGTTTTTTAGATGGCCTGGTCATTATCGGAAGTAATGTAAAGACAAAGTTTAATTAGGTGGACAGCGATAGTTGTAATTTAACTTAGTGAACGTGTGAAGTTTTATGGTAGGATCAGACCCAGTATTAGTTAAGAGTAAATATATTAACGTTAATTGGTGATAGAGATAGCGTGAGAATTAGCAAGATTAATTTATGACGTTGAGTTCCTAAATAAGGTGTCAAATTGATAGAACCCTATCAGTGACGAATTATTTATCGCTATTAAGTGTTAAATTAAAGAGAAAAACTAATAGGAAAATAAAATAATACCACGTGAAAAAAAGTTACAACCTTCAAAAGCAATGGATCACCTATGCCTCTAGGCAGGAATATAGGTATATTAACGATAAAAGGAGAAAAAGAAATCTGTTAAGTGTGAATCAATATTTATGGTCATACAAAAATAAGTTCAAGGCGTGATGAATAGGATAAGAAGTACACACATACGCTCATATAAAACCACTCAATGCTGATAAGTAAATAATTAACAAGGTGAAAACGTGACTCAAGAATAACGGATAAATTGGCTTGTTCAGAAGCTAGAATAAGTTATACGGGCTTAACATAGTAACCGACACCATACTCCCTTCACTTCTAAGTGTACTGATTGGATTTTCATACTTCACACAGAAAACAAACTTTTATTCGTACACCTCCTCATCGTTTTATATAGGTCTTTCTCATATAATCTTATTTCAACCTACTTTTTATTCCTCTTAAGCTGTCTCACACGTTGCATTTACAAACCAAGAGAATCCAATACACTAGGAAAGGTTGATACAACTAACCTCCCCTTTCTTCAAAAGAATATTAACTGCACTACTTGTAGGTTTTAAATGGACATCAGTACAATAAAACACCAAGTTTTTCTCGTAACTAATTGACCATATGACACCAGTATCAACAAAAAAGAGTGATAATTGCCTGTTTGCAATTAATTTCTCGATTAGGTGTGTAGTACTGCTGAAGACATTTTAAGCGATAACAAATCTATACTTCCGTCCAAATCAGCTGGTCTCGATCCAAAATCACTCAGTGTTTAGGTAGTAAATGACTTGGGAATACTACGAACTTCTTGTATACGTCCAACCTTCAAACATTTAAGGCAACGTGCATTATGACAACTACATGAACTACGAAGGTGCAGTTTACTACATGAAAGTCAGGATTAGGCACCCCAAAACAAATTTAAAGACTTTAAAATTATTCATCCTCCTCAGTGAATTGAAACCACTCGTTTTAGAAGAAATCTTATATTCTTATAGAATGTTAGATTTATTGACATTAAACATCATCTTGACTCGTAATGACATGTCGAGGGCCACCGTTGACATCATAAGTAAACTTAACGTATTGTATTATTAAACAGTTGCGGAAAGAAATGCTAACAAGATGCTTTTCTAGTTTCGGATTACTTATACGAGCGATCAGGCGTTCACAAAGTTGAGTATGCAGTTGTTCACTGAAACCGCGATTAAATGCTCGTTTGATGCTGTATTATAAAACGTCTGATGGTCTAGTCACGTGCAAGGGATTGGTTTGTAATCTCTATTGCATGCTGGTCAGAAATAGGATCGATTTTAGGTGATATGCTAGATTTTCTGATGAACTATGCTATTCTCTACCATCAGCAGTTGCAAAATGAAGTGAAATGACATTTTCCGTGGAGTTATGTGACAAACATCAGGCATCAAAACATTCTAAAAAATTTCCCACCAGTCACGGTGATGCGATGATGAGCCATTTACATGAGTCAATTGACTTAAAAAAGGCAAAGAACGAAGGACCAAGTTCAGAGAGATCTGTTAGGAATAATGGCTCGGGCGAAGAATTTTCTTCTGTCCTCGCACTCCAAATGGAAGTAGACAGGAAACGTCCAGAAAGCCTATTGGCAACGCCACCTCTGTTTCCAGCAGGAAAGCAAAACTTACCATATAATCATCGATGATCATCCAGGGGCGCATAGTGTGAGTAATGTGACTGTGATTGCTACTCCAACGAAAGCTGATGGATGAGCACAAATTAAGAACAAGAAATGAACATTAACCTAAGGGGTCATGGGTTTTGTCCGTCAAAACTTGCCGCTTGCGGACACTATAAACAGATGAGAAGCTGAAAAAGAAATTAAACTAAGGTTAGATGATGATAAGGACCTTAGAATTACGAGTTCTCAAGTGGTAAGGCTTCGACAGAAAATGATTCCGGAGCCACTTTGGATACAGCTTGAACTTTTAAGTGGTATTCGGATCTATCATACAAATGCACGGAGCTTGCTAACATAAGCGATCGGAGCTAGGTTTACAGAGACTCTTCCAAGCCGGATGTAACCGTTGTCACAGAAGCTTGGCTGACACAGTCTGCAGACCACGGGAAACTTGATTTCGAAAGTGTCACATTAGTAGGAGCCAATAGATTCCTGAAACGTAAAGGAAGAATAGCTCTATTAATTAAAAATGCTCCCCCATTCGCCGTCGTTGACAACACATCCCATGAAAGTGAGACGTGTTAGTCAGTTGTAGCTTGGAATCCAAACGACAAGGGTTGTTGATTGATTTAGTGCACCTCAATCGAAAATGTGAGGCGATTGAGGTCTTGCTATATGGTTTCAACACTTGGTCATCAAGTGGTCGACTTGTAATGTTAGGAGACTTTAATGAAACTACGGTAGACTAAAGAAATCGAAGGACTGAGTTTTCAGAAAATTCCTTCGAACAGAAACTAGTTGACGCGGTTATCACATGCCCTAGCACAACATACGAAATGAGCAACGAGGTGAGTCCCAGACTTCGAATCATTTCCACTAAATCTCATATTCAACCATTATAAGGATGACGTAACAAAGCTTCATTATACATCGACCCTAGGTATAAGTGACGATGCATTTCTGGTCTCTCATTTTGTTTTAGTTGTCAGTAACGAGGATGTGTCACCCCAAGCCAAACCAAATGTCTGGAAAGTAAATATTGAAGATATTATATACAATTTTTGCTCAGTAGATTGAAAAATGGAACCTGAATCCCTAATTGAAACGGCTTGGAAAGTAGTCAAAAAACTATACATAAAAGTCACTGCACCGTACATCCCTTGGACTACACCAAGAAGTCCGAGAAACTCCCCACCGTGGTTAAGTAATGAGGTTGTCACTCTTGTCCCTATGAGAAGAATGTGGGAGAGATTTAGGCGATTGGGTTCTGAAGAGACTAGGTCTCAATATCGAGAAGTTTGAATCTAATTTGCCATCATTTTTTCATCATCTAAAACAAAGAATTTACGAGAACACCAAAATGTTCACCAACCTTGGACAAATTACTAATCGGCTGATTGCCGAATTTTCCATCGAACCATCAACGAATGAAATTTGTAACATTAGCATGTGGTTGAAGCTCCATTACTCAACTCTGAAGGTTGGATTCACTGAGAGATTACCATTTCCAGGACTTACACATGCTACTCAGACTCATGTCCTTTTGAAACTCGAACAGAAACTAAAACAGCAACAACTACAGTGACATCGTAGAAACAATGACACAAAATCATCAAGTGAGACACTTAATCCATGACACCCTACATAGATGAATGAACGACAAAATCCAGTCACCAAAACTCACTGAAATTGGACATAGACTTGCAGATGGTTAACCTTCGTGCATCACTCAAAATATTTTATCTAAAGCAGCCAATAGCTAAATAGGACAGTTCTGATTGGTCTTTTTGAGAATAGCCCAAGGACGACACTCAACCAAAGGAGTCGGTAAGTCGAAGCATAGAGGTTGGTATGGTGGTGTTTCTTTATCATTTATACCTTTATTTCACTTTGAGGTCATATCCATTTGAAGGAAAACTAGCAAGACTTTCCTTCAATAACGAAGTTATTCTAAAGCTTATTCATAGATTCCATGGAATCTATAACACCAAATATTTGGTGTTATGGGCATACTTAATTAAGTCCTAAAACATGTAGCTACAGTGGATGACTACAATTTATGAGCATTTCTAGGTGTTTCCAGATCTGCCAACGTTACAAAACTATAGTTTTGTGAAATAAGGAAAAAAAGCACCATCATCCATTTTGATCGTAGAATTTCGGCCCATATGGGCCGATATCAAGAAATTAGGACAGAGGAAGGGCAATAAATAATATGAATAGTTTGTATTTACATCAAAGATCCAATGAACTCGTACACAAGTATGTTGTAATTGGCCACAAAAATAAGCTAAAAGGCTTCTGGATACAGTGTACCAACGAGAACTAATATTTTGATTGTTGTTAAATCCTTTACCAAAGTAATTCTGCACATTAACACATATGCCTTCGACCGCTAATCAAGATATGTTAGCTCGATTTTCATGTCACAGCCAATGCTATCTCCGCTCAGTTTTTACTAGAAATACAAGTTAGGTAAGATGACAGACCATGAACAACATTGTAGTTACCATGAAGAAAATTCCTAGTTTTCTTAGCTTTTCCACAGCTTAGTAGGTCTTGGCAACCTAAATATGTATCATTTTTGCGGGTTTCGTATTTTATTTTCTCACTAGATTAACACTAATGCTCGTATTGTATTTGGAATTCGAAGTCAGGCAAACATCAAGTACAAAGGAATCATTAGTTCATACAAACACCACAATTACTCAATATTTAGGAATTAAGATATGCTGGTTTGTCTTCAATAATACTTGTGGTTTATGTTTTCTTAAAGATCCAGTTTTCTCTTTGGAATCGCTCACTGATAAGTCCAATATCACTTTCGAGTAGGGGTTTCCATCCGTTGGTCACTCTATAAGGACGAAATTATAACTCAAGTTTATTCGATCGTAATTTGAAAACCATTTTGTGATGGCCTCCAAAATGGTTGCTCTTAGAGTAAGCAAAAAGACTAGACCCAAGTAATTTATTTAAAATACGGGATCCCGGTATGAGATCATCTCACGATAGAAATAGAGCCAAGCAAATAACCTTCGCTTCATAAGAGATATTGTAATGTCGTACTATCAAACTAGTACCTCTTTGTACATGTCCGAAAGTATCTGCATCTTTAATTAATTGCGTATTTAACGCTTAGATATAGCATTTTTAATAAGCTCTTTTGTAGATGGCATACAAAGTCTTTGCTTAACCATTTTCTCTGAAGTGGCCGTAACCTACAAAGCGTCTTAGCAGCTATTACATTGCAGTATTCAGTCGTTTTCACGACTTATGATTACATCTAAGCTTTTCATATCAAAACGTATGAAAGTGGTATACGATCGGTGTATTAGTGGCTATCAACCCCAAAGTTTATTCCTAGGGGCTAACTTTTGCAACGTCTATTTCACTTGCATCAAATAAGAGCTTTAGTCTATCATCACCAGTACTTGTAACTCCGCAGTTGTAGGTTGTCTGTTAACAAGGGTAGTGAAGGGCTTCTGTTGATATAGGGTCCGTTTGAATTCGTCAAGACAGAATGACCGTCAGTATTGCTCCAAGTACAGATGCAACTGAGAACAAAAGCAGTAAAAAACAACCTAGATCATGGCTTAAATGTCTATCGGCTCTAGTTGTCAAGCCACATCAGTACAAGAAATAAAACTATCACGATGAATACCGAAAGAAAACATAGTCATCCCCATTTTTGTGTTGGTTGTTTGAATCTTCTCATTGATGTTTAGGACTGCAACTAATCAGTCTATTACTGGATTTGACTTCTAGCCACCACTATCTCTGCTTATAAAGTTATTCCAAGACAACTTGAGCTACGGTACATTACTGGTCATCAAACCCTACTTTCAAATGATTAAACGACTGTCTATTCACATTTTTCACTGCTGTATGACTCCAATGTATAAATTTACACGAGTAAGAGTGTATGCATGTACTCTATGAGAAGTAGTACTTTCCAGATGTCTTATGAACCATGTTTTTACGATAGTAACTGTATTGACTCCCAATTCTTCCATCAAAAAGCATAGCGCTAATTAGTTAGTTCTAAGGTTGCAAACACTTACTTAGTATAAGCTCAGGGTGCTTAAGGGATTTCTGAAACATTGGTCTCCAAAACCTCACCAACTAAAAGCCCTGAATTCTAAGTTTTATGGAAGAGGTAGACTAACAGTGGGATCCAGGACGTTCATTCCCTCCTATCTGGGACTCGTTCACTGAATACTTGCATCCCAAAGTTGATATTCACCATGGGATTTGAATTCAATACCTTCCGCTTCAAATGCCAACTCATTATCTACTGGCACTTGAAGCGAAAGACACTGGGTCCGAATTTAGGGCTGAACATCAACTCTGGGATGCAGTTGCACCAGCTGACGAGTCCCGGGTGTGACGAAATGCACGTCATGTATTCCGCTGATAGCCAACATCTATCCCTTCTATAGAACTTTAAAAAAAAGTATCGAGGCAATTCGCATAAGATACACATATTCCAACTAGGACTAATCAAAATTCAGTCAAGTATACCAATAACAGGATATGTCAAAACCTCTACAAATTAAACCCGAATTCTAAATTTTTTGTACCTACTCTCCTGTTGAATCTTTGACTTGGATAAAGAGTTTATTTCATCTGATCTTTAATTGGCGAATCCAGCTAGTTACAGATATTCCAATTCCAAACAATCTGTGGATTTCTTATAATAGTCTTGTTTCTCACTACTCCCTAGCGTTAATTTTAAGACCCATTCAGGTCAAAGCTCATCACCGACCAGCCTACCGAATCTCATTACCTCGGTAGCATGCAACCTCAAATGATTTGATAATACGCTTCGGTTAGCAGATTTAGACCACATATTGATAGTGTGCGTAAAAAATAATCCTGAATTTATCGCATCTGATATATTGTGGTCTTCAACGTTATTAATTGCATACTTTTGAAGTACTAATAACCAGGTAATCTCATGTGTTTGTTAACTCATGTCTAACTTTTCCTTTGTTCTATTTTTTTGAAATACACTTGAATAATAGTTATGTAAGTATGATCCACTTCTCTAAGATAACGTAAATTTTGAGTGACTTTCACATAAAAAACTGAATTTCAGTTTAGATGTACTTATCTTTTTAGTATTTCGTAAATTCATGTCCATGTATCTAGACATGTGCTTCTACATAGTGTAAATCACTAAAAAGCAGAAAAGTTTCGAGAAAAAGTCATATGGATGTGTGGGTTTTCGAAGTCAGCTTCAGACTGTTACGTTTTTTCCATTTCAGAAAGAAATTCAGTGAAGTACATTTTGTAATACGACAACACTTATATTGTTAACTACTTAGTGAATAACACTACTATAATTAACTGTTAAGTAATATTATGGATGTGCAATTGTGCGATGGTTCATTGGGTGATGAGGTAATACATCGTTTTTATCATCTAAAGATTTTAAAATAAAGAAAGATGGTACAAACTCTTTGGGAACTATAGTTACAGAAGATTCTAGTGGAAACATTCCAAATGTAAATTCAAATACAAATGTATATGATTGTATGGAGTTCAAGCGAAAGCGCTCCGTTATAAAAGAAAAGCGTTTTGTGATAAATGGTTAGTATACTTGTTATTTACATTTATATGTACATTTTTATGTAAAATGTTTGGGTCAACATATGTTACAATGCTTTTAAGATTTCCCGAATACACTTCCTTCAAGAAGTTATCATTTGCGATTTTCAATGAAATACTAGCTGATTTCACGTAACTTAGCAGTTTCCACAGAATGTAATTTTAATTCCTGGTTTCATTATTTCTCCAGTAAAATAAAACAGCATTCCGGTCTTGTAATCATCAGTGTTTTCAAGATATTTTGCATGTTCAGGCTGACTATAATTTCGTCCGATTAGTGTTGTAAAGGATATGCAAACAATTCATCTTGTTGTTTTACACACATTCCGAAACAACTCTTAACCTAGTTCCTCTCTTCTAACAATCTGAATAATTTTTCATGAAACTTTGTCTAGTTTCACTATTGTTGTTATTGTTTCAAGATTATCTAGCATTCCATATGCATACGATTTGTACATTATGTTGTTTTGATAGTTTTTTGAACATAGTAATATTAATACGATTGACTGAGTGATTAGATGAGTTCTCACCACACATTATTTATTTATTTGAACACATAAATATTGGTACAGAGGGGAACCGAATACATATACGCCACACAAATCTCATTTGACTTGTGTATGGGCTGTGATACTACCCGTGTGCCCAAACCGAAGCATATGGTTCTCTTAGGGGGCCACACCCGGAGCCTTCGACCTAAAAGTCTGATCCCCAAGGCAGTCGAGCATCGTAAGGAGATGCAGTCCCATGGTCCCGACCGTTGTTGCTACCTTGAAGTGGTGGTCAGGCTTGCCTATCGTGATGGAGCAATCGAGCTATAATGGCTGGAACAACCGTTCCTCAAGGTCCTACCATGTCAGACAGGTCAGTTGAAGAGCGGTAAGACTTAAAGCAACAAACCCAAGGTCCGAAGGTGAAGTCGTACTTCTGAATGTACAGAGGTGTGACAGCAGTAAGGTGTTTCCTTCAGACAACCAGCATGACAGCGATGCTGCCTTCTCACAAGAAGGGGTGGGGTTAGATAAGATCAACCCTAAAAATGCACATCTCGCCTTATCCCACGGATATCCGTCTCCGGCGGTAAGGTCTCAGCAAGAACGGAGCTAACACAAAAATTACTCATAAAAGGTCGTGTGTGACCGATGTCAAGCAGTCGTCCGTTGGGCACTGCGGTCACGCTTTCAGGTCACTAAGACCACCTCTAATCCAATTTCCTTTTCAGGCACCTCCAGAAGAACCCTTCCACAATGTGGGCAACCGGGAAGTGATAACCGCCCTCATACCTCTAACAACACTCAAGACCACTGTATTCACAATAAACCTCCCTCTTCAATTCCTAATATTCCTCCTACATCGACTTTCAACGCTAAACTTCTTATTTTGGCTTCCTCCTCAAATGTCACCATAGCCAACGATTTCAATACGCAAAACGCTGTCCCAGGTCTACTGAAATCTCGCTTCAAACTATACATTGGAGCCTCCAACCTACGCCTCTATGTCAAATCGGTCATCAGGCTTCCTTGGCTAAAATCCTAGAATCTCTTACCATTGATGTATGTTGTGTCTCCGAAACACACATACAGGATTCCAGTGTGGTCATTCACTTGACCTCACCTCGTCAAAACGGAGAGCCGACGAGATACACCCTCCGTGTATCTGGTGACCCTATGGACAGTTCTCGTGGACTGGCAAGTGTGGGCATAGCACTAAGCATGAGAGCAGAACAAGCACTGTTAGAATGGATTCCCGTCAACAGTCGTCTATGTGCTGTTCGGTTAAACGGCTCCGTAAGAACTCGGAAGGATAGGGACACACGTCGTTGCCTTTTCGTCGTTTCTGCCTACGCTCCCACTGACTGCAGCTCAGATGATATGAAAGATGAATTTTACAGAAAGCTTTCTGAACTTCTTCAGAAAGCTAAACGTTCAGACATAGTACTCATAGGGGGTGACTTTAATGCTCAGATAGGCAGCTTAAACCAAACAGAAAGGCATTTAGGTGGATATTTTAGTATTCCGACACAGCGAACAGATAATGGTGATCGTCTGCTGCAGCTATGCTCAGAAAATCGTTTATTTTTAGCAAACACAAATTTTAAGCATAAGGAGAGACATCGTCTAACATGGCGACCCCCTACAACAAACCAACGATGGACTCAAATAGACTATATTGCCATCAGTCACCGTTGGAGAGGGTCGGTAGAAGATTGTCGCTCATTCTGGAGTACCTGCTTGGACTCCGACCATGCCCTAATACGGGCACGCATCTGCTTGCGCCTCACTCGACGCAAAAAGCCACATTAAAAAGACCCATTAGAACTGAATTGAATAGCGAGAAAACCAAAAGTAGGTTCCAGGAACAACTGAGGTCACGATTAGGTAGTTCTGAAAACGAGGTTGACCCAGATGTTGCTTGGAAAAATTTACGAACAGCTGTGGAAACAGCAGTGACATCTATCAGTGATTTAAACCACAGGGTTACAAAGAACCAATGGATTTCCTCAAGGTATATTGCACTGATAGATTCTCGTAAAATCATCCCATCAGGCTCTGAACACGATGAAGAGCGAAAACAAATCAGATCTAGGTTAAGCAAAAGTCTGAGGAACGACTGTGAGCAGTGGTGGGCAACGAAAGCAAAAGAGATGGGAAAGGCGGCGACTATAGGGAACGCAAGACAGCTCTACAGACTAATAAAAGAAACTGGAATTAATAAGTCAAGTGTAAGTGAGATTATTTCGGAAAAAGAAGATACTCTCATCTGCTCTCAGTCCAGACGTTTAGAACGATGGGCGGAACATTTCAGAGGACAGTTCAGCTGGCCTTCAGCTACTCTACTACTACCCTCCATTCCCAGACAAAGTGAATGAAACATTAAAGTAGGTCCCCCAACTCTAGCAGAAGTTCAAAAGGCTATAGTTAATCTGAAGCGAGGAAGGGCAGCTGGTCCAGATGGACTGGCTCCAGAGGTCTTTAAGGATGGTGGTCCAATTTTAGCGATTAGGTTGACTAATATTTTAGCTAAGATCTGGGAGTTGGACGTAATCCCATCTATCTGGTCACAATCACTTATCGTCCCAATATATAAGAAAGGGTCAAAATCATCCTGTGACAACCACAGAGGGATTAGTTTGACTAATATGGTATCTAAAGTACTAGCCTCGATAATTATCAGACGCCTAACTAAGACTCGTGAACTGCAAACACGAGAAAATCAGGTTGGCTTCAGACTTAATTTTGGCTTCATCGACCACATATTCACCATTCGTTAGGTTCTAGAACACAGGCATACTTATCGGCGTCCGATAATGGTGATCTTTCCTGACTTACAAGCAGTATTTGACTCGGTAGACCGCGAAATTCTGTGGCGGTGTCTGTCAGAAGTACATAAACCTTGTAAAGGCTCTTTACTCGAACACTACTAGCCGATTGAGAGCCTATGGCGAACTGTCATCTGGTTTTGCGACCTCAAGTGGCGTCCGTCAAGGCTGTCCACTTTCCCCATTTTTGTTTAACTTCATCATAGACCTACTGACGGAAATAACGCTCTTATTGACCGAATTTTCGAGCATTGATCTCCATCCAGGAGGCCCACTTATCGACTTAGAATACGCGGATGATATAGTCCTGTTTAGTGAAGACGCTGATAAAATGCAGAATCTTTTGGTAGCACTGAGTAACAATGCCAGAATGTTTGGCATGCGCTTCCCTCACTCTAAATGCAAGTTGTTGCTTCAGGACCGGTCTACATCAACACCTGAACTAAGGATAGGGAGTGAAGTAGTCGAACGCGTTGACAACTTCACTTATCTTAGAAGTCTGATCAGCCCAAATGGGTTAATGTCTGACGGAATCTCAGCATTGATTCTCAAAGCTCGTTTGGCTCTTGCCAGCTTACATCACCTGTGGCGAGGGCGACATATCCGTCCATCTATTAAGGGACGAGTATACTGCACAGTAGCTCGTTCTGTTCTACTTTACGGTTGCGAAACGTGATCATTGAGTAGAAGATACTGGTAAGCTACTAGTATTTAATCGCAGATGTCTTAGAAATACTGGTCGCATCTGCTGGGATCACTGGGTAGGTAATAGTGAGGTTAGACACAGCGTATTAGGGAATGATGGTAAATCAGTTAATGAGGTTGTGAATCTTCATCGACTGAGATGGTTGAGCCACGTGTTACGTATACTTGAACACTGATTATCACGACATGCAATGCTAACCAGTGTTGGAGATGGTTAGAAGAAAGTTAGGGGCGGCCAAACCAAAACGTTGCATCAGTGCTTGAAGACACTAACTTCTAGTCTGAGCCATGTTGGTAGATGCAGACTACTTCGTTGGGGTCCGCGTGACTAACGTGTCTAATGGTTGGAGACTGTGTCACATGTCTCAGAATCGATTACAATGGCGTAGGTGTATACACTCTTTGTCTTCCCTTAAACTAAGAGATTGAAATTGCTTTATATCTTTCTTTCTACTAACTAATTATTTCTTCCTGTACCATGTCCTTACATGCAATCTTTCTTTTATATATTACCACTATTGAATTAACTGCTTGTATGAAATTGGTGTTCATCTTTTTGTGCTAATGCGGTATGGCAACCTGGACAGATGCATATATGTGCATGGTCCTACGTTGGAGCTGACCGACTGCAGTCCCATGGTAGCCGGTGACCAGCGATTGGTTCATACACCATTCGTTCACACAGGGTACTGGGGCCCATGTGCACCATTGGTTTGGAATCAGGATTTTCCAACTCCCCCATGTGAACCCTCTGTGTCCACCAAACCAGCTAAAGCGCCGGACATTCGTTTTTCGTCCTCTCAGTTTCATAAACAACACCCGTGTTGCGAGAAGGCAGTGAGTAGGACTTCCCTGACAGAGGCTATATACGCGTGGCCATGTGAGAGCATTTTGAGAGGGAGAGCTGGCTCCCTCCACTCTCGGCCGTACCAGGACATTTGGGAGCACAAATGCAATCACTTTTCATCTTTCGATTTCGTATTCAAGTATTCTCTAGTAAATCTTGTTGAACCATATTCCCAATGATTAGTCTTTTTCATCGTCATTGACACCGCATTATTTTGATTTTATTTATTCATCTTGTCATTTCCATGTCGCCATGATAACATGGTATGGTACCTTGTGCCAAAGCGCATCCATATCAGGTTCTGGCTTGACAGAGATAACTCACCCCTATCTGGGTCGTAAAGGCAAGTGTTTTAATCGTTTGATGCTGCAGATTGCCTTTTTGGTAGTGGTTTTAATTTTCATCATGAAACTATTGTTACTACATTTCTATGTGTAATATACTTACATCTCTTGAATGAATGGGTCCGAATTCATATCACCGTAATTATTCAGAATTGGGGTTCGCAAACAACCATTATTAAACGGTTATGACATAATAGTTAGAATATTGTTATGGTAGCTAAGTAACTACGCGTTGTCCCTCACTTAAGGATGTTAACTACAGCTTGTTAGTGTGGGACGGTAATTCTGTTCAACCACTGGTAAATGGCTACTACAAAGGTTTGTTTTGCATTAATCACTCACCGTTCTAAAATGGATGAAAAATTGTATTTATTCTTACTTTCGTAAGACGGTTTTTGCATACGATCATTTTTAAATTTAATATATTTGCAGAAGTTTTATTCCTTATAAATAAGACATAATTGCCTTTGCCACTTTAAACATCTATTTTCTTAACTGACAGTTTCCATAGTACATAGTCTATATGTAAAGAGGATATCAAAAAATAAGTATACAAATTGAGATGTTATTACTTGTCTACGCCCCAGTAAGTTAGAATAAACATTCATGCACACCAACCCTAAAGTAATGTTCCGAACTCGGAGATGGGGAAACGTATTTCAAACATTTTCTCATCCGAATACAAATAAGTTTACAGAGTTTGAGTAGATATCTGTTTCTTACTGAATGTAAATGTTGTAATAACGATTTCGGAAAGATGAAGTTTGTCCCACGTTTTTGTGAAGAAAAGCAAAATTATCACGGAATCTGAATAAAATTCTTTATAACCATCAAACCAGGGAAAAACGGTACAAATGAAATATTCCATATATTCATTCAATTTGGTTTGACATAAGTAATTATATTTAACAAAACTCATTGTTTATATATGTAATGGTGACATTTAAAGTTTTGAGTGACTCGAGAGTATATAAGGTATCCAGTCTAGTAATATGAAATCCAAGAAATTAAGGTAATTTACGTCGTTGTAATCAACACATTTGGTGACTATCTTAGTATGGTTTTCTTCGTAAATCGACATAAGCTAATGGATCACCGATTCCTAGTTTACACCGATCATATTTAAAAAAAAACGTAGGTTTCCTTTACCGAAACTCTTATTCTGTCATCAACTATAGCTAAATACATCAGTCACACATCAAAATAAATATTCTAGAGATTTTCTCGTTGCACAGCTTCACAATTTTCTTTGTTCGGTCTCGAAGTGGGTTATGCGTGTGTGTTTCTGAGGTATTCTACTATAAGGTACATTCTACCTTATTCTTCCCGACCCTTTACTGATATCGATGTAATAAAAATCACTGAAAATGTCATGAAGAGAATAAAATCACTGACTTTATTCTGTATTTAATACAAAATGTCGCTTTTTCTAAAAAGGAAGTAGCACTTTTCTTTTTGAGAAATTTTCATTCTGTATCCTTGACATTTGAATACACAGTTGAAACCTAAGTAACCTCATTTATATTAAAATGTGTAGTGTAATTTCACAATATGTTTTTTCCTAAACAACATTATTACTTCTTAACAACAGATATGGTTGAAACAGTTGATTTTGGTCTACTACCTGAGGGTTGGCTCCAACTACGTCATATTTCTGGACTTAATGTATATTTACACAGATCAAGCCGAGTGGTGACACTTTCAAGACCATATTCTATTGGACCGAGTAGTGTACGTCACCATCGTATTCCTGTATCGGCTATTCCATGTTTGGCTTATCGTAAAGCTAGTGGAAAATTTTTTTATCCAACTGAATCTCATACGGTAAATTTTCAGCACTGTATTGATGTGCCTTGTTGATTTATCATGCATGTTATCATGGATTAAAAAATTGTACGAACTTAATCTTTTCCAATGACTTTTATCATATAATCTAATTTGTTAAAATTCGTTTAACAAATATTCATAGCTTTCCGCACAACTATCCATTCAAAACTGACAGTTCATTTTAACTTCATAATTTATGGATTTCCTTTCGGTATGGCATTTGCCATCACACTGCGCATTTATTTTACTTCTCTCTTAGTTACATCCCCTTTCATCTTTGAACGGAGAATTATTTTGCCATTGTATCTATACAGATATTTGTCCACAGTATCAAGATTACTATCGTTTGCTAAACAAATACGTTTGTAACTTTCATTATAATGTTTCCGTAGTTCATAGTCTGTAGTCACATTAAAAATAGATGGTTATGTATGGTTGCATTTCGTGAATTCCCATTCAGTGTGTCAACTTGAAATCGAAGTTTTCACATAGTTGTTAAGGACTTTTTACTTAAAGAAATTCACTAGTTACCAGGTACATAATAATAATACCAAACTGTCAATTGCACCCTCCTGGGTACTTAAAATCAAGTCCATTGAAATTATGCAGCCCTGGTCTTGATTTAAACACTTAGCATACTATTTTATACTTATTTTTTTTACCATGTACCAGACTCATTTTGATATTTTGACTATGTTTCTACGATGATTGCCGCCTATCCTACGTTCTTAATCGCTCACTTATATCAACGAAGAACGTTGGACGTCAGATAAAATTAACAAGGTGAATAACAAATAGTTTTAAATGATTTTAGCAGAAATATCAGTGATAAAAATTAAACACTGAAAATATAATTTTCGAAGATGGAATGAAAAAGTATTTGTGAAGCAACAATAGGACCTTAGATCTCAAGGAAAACAAAAAGTAAATTCATTTGCACCATTGTGAACAATTTTGAGCCATGTCGGTCTCAATCTCCAACCACTGGTCTCCGTTACCAAGTGGACCCCAATATGGTAGTCTGAATCTACCAATATGGCGCAGACCAACAGTCTATGAATTCTTGCACTGATGTAACCTTTTAGTTTTACTACCAAACGTAAACATAATAATAATAGTATTAAATTTAGTGGGGAATATACAAACTCTTGGGTCTGTCTAGAAAGTACTCCACTAGCTACGAACGGATCAGTTCACAAAAATAGAAAGAAGACCATGAACGCAAGTGGTAGTGTAATAGAATTAGAACAAGGTGCTCATTTATGTACAAAGCAATTGTCGCTTCATACGAACACCACATCTATTACAGGTTAAATACAGGTCTGGATTTTTATAGTTCACTCTAGGTTTTTTACGAAGGTTTTTTGTATGTATAACGGACTGTATTTGTGGTGGTTTTTGTATTATCTAGAATAGATTCATTAGTTACAGAATTAAAATTAGGTATCGAAACGTATTTCATCAACATAGAGGTTTTGTGTACAAAAGTCGTAATATTTTTTGTACGGAAACTGTAGACTTGGTAATGTTATCCAGTCAAATTCCACTGGATAATCAGAAATCAATAGCACAATAATACATAACCGTTTCAGACTGCAAGTACCTCATATTCGGATAGAGAGCCTTTGCTTTCTTTTGGTAATTTTGTTGGAGTTTTTGTCTCAGAATGCATGGCATTCTTATGTCTACTTTCTTCTCCAGTTTGTTGAGTGTTATAGTAAAAAAACGAAATTAACAATAGTTTTCTATTTTTCGAAAAAACTTTCTCCTTGACCATTGAAATGAAAATGTTTGGGAGTAGAGTACGAATTTTGCTATCTATACTGTTCAGCCAAGTTGTAACTGAGTATGTCGCAACATTCATATTCTTTTAGTTAATTCCATAATAAATCATTTCCCAAATTAAACTTGTCATATCTATGATCAAATTAGTCAATTGTGAGCAGTGAAAGTAAATTAATGATGGGATATTTATGTGTGCGTGTAAATATGGTACTTTTGACCATACTACATATACGTAATAGTTATAATACCAAAAAGTATCACCATTAACTCTATTCAGTTTTATCCAGTCAGCCAAACAGTGATCTTTTCGTTGTCGTTTTTAATCTTTTGTCGTCTTTTTTTTCATATACTTAATTCATTAATTATGATATATATAAAGGTTCCTTCAGAATTCACTAGTCCAGTGAATGAGTTAAATAATAAAACAGTATGTTGTCCGTTTGAAATATCACCAACAAACATCCCATCTGAAGATGTACAAACAGTCCAAAAATTAGACCTATCTAATGAATCGTTAGAAGATGAAGTGTCAGTGATAAATAACAAGCATGAGGATGAGCTATCAATTAATGGTGGTGCTTCAGTATCATTCAGTCGTAGTAGAAATAACTCGTTTTCATTACCTGAAGATAACAATAATACTAATCACGATATTGTTGATGTAGTGAATAGTAAAAATTCCGATAAAGAAGAAGGTGAATTATCTTCTGGTGATGATGAAAAAGAGAATTCATTTGAAGATGATAGTCGAGCTAAAAAACCACGTTTGAATAATAATGACGATGTTAGTGATGGTGTTGGCGAAGATTCAATCGACTGTTCATCCAATGAAACATCATCTTTACAAAGTAAGCATTTTTTCATTATTTTTTTATTTATTGGAATTTTCCTAATTAAATATTTAAAAATACCCATAAATTTTAAGGCTAACCAATTTGTGATTTTGAAAGGAAATCGAAGATTTAATACTCACCAAATACGAGTTGGTGTACTTGACTACAAGCCACATTCCAAAAGTGAAAGCCGAAGATACTTTCCGGTTGCCGAAACTAAAGTCGTTGAGGAGGGGTTTGGACCTACCATGTAGTGGGTGTGTTAAACCCTTTGGTCATTGAACCATCCCTTAAAGAGTATTTATAAAATAGTCTGGTGATTGTTTCTCATCCTGAAATGAACAGTAGGATTGAGAAAATAACACTACCTAAAATAGCTTAACTCATTCCTCACTTAACCTAATCATCTCATGACTTCGGTTTCTTAAGGCCAGGTAGAGATCAGTTTATTACGTAAAAATCATTATATAGGTTGGTTATGGAGATTTGTTTGATTTGATTATAGTTTTCACCACTGACTGTCGCTATATTATTGTTTCGCGTTTCAATTCAGCCACTAATGCACGCTCCTACTTTCAACCTATTTAACTATACAGGTGAATAGACCTAAAACTGTACGGGATGTCTTATTTCCGAAAGTGGGATAGTAATGCTTATAACTTATTATTATATTTATAGGTTGTGAGATTAATAGGAATATGTTGTCGATAGTGACCTTCGGCAATGAACGACTCATTTATTCGTTCGAGTTTCCATTCATCTTCACTTTTTTCTCGTTGTTTTGAGACAGCATGAGGTTTGCCATGGTTTATCCGACGTACAACTTATGATGAGCTATTGAAAAGCAGGTTCTATTTATTGGTCGATTTGTAATAGAGGTTGAGATCCCTCAGCAGTGTTCAATAAATGCATTTTGCGACGTGGATTTCTGAACATCCATATCCCATATAAAGTACAAGATCCTTTTAGACCTATGATTTGGAGTTGGACGGTCCACATTTCTAACTTCGTCCAGTTCTTTGGTTTTTTGTAGTTCTCCAGCGTATGTCAGTCTGAAAAGAATAGATTTACCCAACATGTATTATGGTCTCTCTTATGACGACTCAGCTAGTCTTACTGCCTAATATTTATTCAGACACTACTTCATTTAACTAGTCCTCGATTCGGAAAACAGTTGGACGGAAACATGATTATGTTCCAAATAAACAAGATTGACTGAAAGTAAAATTCGCAATAAGAAGGACGTGAATATGACTACAATTTTACATGAGGAGATTCTAGAGTCTTCTCCAATTGTCCTCTAGCTCTGATTGTCTAAGAAGTGACCAGTCAGCGTACTTCAACACAATCCTGCGCGGAACATGCTTTAATCCAATCTATATCCCACTAACAATATGACTCTAATTACTATTGTCCTTAATGATATTGTTCATACTACTATGTGATAGACTTATCATATTTTAAATTAAGTTTATTCCTCGCTTGCGAAAATGAATTGTAATGATGAAAAAAGTACCTTTCTGGTTTATATCTGATGGCATTTGATTATGTAATCAAAGCGTCATAGGAAGTTCAACCAATTCATATGGTACTATTGATGATATTAATTTTTTGTAGCTTAACATCTACAATATTCTCAAGTTGGCTTTTAAATCGTTCGTTTTTTTTTACAATTCTTATCATTGTTTCTATTATATTTACTGTAGATTCGTTACCTAAAGCAGCTGAAGAAGTGTCAAATACTTGTAATAACGTTCTATATAACAGATCAACTCATTTTGGAAATAGATATCGTAAATTTAGACATGGTAATCTTCTAACCAAAAGATCTTGTTTAACAACATCACCAAATATTCAACTGTCAGAGTCTGATCGTATATCCAACGTATCTACCAATAAACAAAATGAGGTACCTACTGGAACTCAAGAAATTGTTGCTGTTAAAACTCAGGTTAGATGTGAAGAAATATGAAGGTGATTATTGTCTGCTAAGTATTTTTCTTCTATCTCTAGTTTTGTCCAAAATATATTTTAATACCTTACTGATTTAGGAAAAAAACCGGCTTGAAATTTTAGGTATTGTTAGACTTACTGGAAAACTCGCTCAAGACTGGTGGACTCGAATGAGTATCTTAACTTTAACAGAGATAATGTTAAAAGTGACCAATTCAAATAGCAGAACGAAAAATCATTACATTCACCGAGAAGGGTGCTAGTTTACAAATAACCAACAAGGTGAGAGCGGAGTAATCGTACAGTTAATTAGTTGCTCATAAATACCAAAACTAAAACATATAAATATGTGTAAGCTTTTAAAAAATGTAACAGAACTACATTTTACATTTAAGATGATCACAAAGTTAATTCCCTTCTGATTAAGATCATTTTGACGCTGCATTTAATCGTATTTTTCAAGGTGTTTTCTATTAAAGACAAAGAAAAAGAATCTCTGTTGACACCTGATGATATTCGTGAATATTGTGGACGTCTTTTTGAAATCAGAGTAGAAGATACAGTAATTAAAAGGTATTCAAATGATTGTTTAAATTGTAGTTTTTGGTTTAATTATGTTAATCCAATTTTATTTTTGATTGTTTTTTTTACTACATTGTTTTAATCTGTACAAAAAAAGTCGTTATATGTGCACTTGAAACAATTGATGTGGATGATAATTTGTGATAGAATTAGAACACTATAATTCCCCTAACATCGACACAAATACTTTATAACAAAATGAATTCTAATGCGAACCGAATGTACTTTTCCAACAACAATAACAAACTTCATAAATTATCCATAGACAACCTTATATCGACAATACTCCTAAATTTTTTTATACCGTGCACGCGAATCCACACCAACCGTTGCAAAAATAATATCTTCTTCGAGGACAAGCAATAGCTGCTGCGTGAATGAAATAAAATGTAGCCAAACAGTCAAGGTTATTGATAGTATTAATGAGGGATAAGTATTGATACAAGCTTTGATTAAAATAAGGAACAACTTTCTATGAATAACTTAGGAACTGTTAATAAAGTAAATGATAAAATACTTCTTCAGAACTTCAAGTTTTCAAACAAAACTTTTATTTTTTCGTTAAGCTTCAATTTTTTTTTATTCAAAGTTTCCCTGAATCATGAGATAGTTTAAATCACGAACTTTATCTGAAAACATATTGGAAATCAGGGAGTACTGTACAGATATTTTAGACTAGTCTAAAGTTCTCCACTTTTGCAACCACGATCCCACTAGAGTTCTAAAACATTACCTTCAGATTATGCAGATAAATTTGAACCCAATCATTCATATTTATAAGCTCAATCAATTCGTGATGTAGCATTACGATTATTCAGGTTTTACCGTTTATACCTATTTGACTGTCGATATTGATGTTCCTCACCAGTTCCAATCATATTTGCTACTTCTTCCCAGTGTTTGAGCTTGCTTACCATAACGATGCAGTGATCTATATTGATTAGCACACTTATTCCTTCATGTTTCACTATCCTAAACAGGCTTGTTGGAGATCGGGAAAAGCAAAATTGTCAAAATCAAGGTTCAAATAAGAAGTTAAATAACTATTTGGCTGCATTAAGGTGTTTCCAGTAAATCATCACTATTTTCTATGATATTAGCTTTCTACGATGAAGGAAAAGGTCATAAAAGTTTGACACTTAAGATAGTTTACTTCATATTATCTCACAGATTTATAGTGTATTCAATAAGATTTGATAAATATACGGTCAAAGCAATAAAACTTATTCACAATGAAGTTGCTTCGCAACTGGCCTCAAGTGTTTTACCCCTGAACTTTACGACAACCCTCTCACATCGTCAAGGCCATTTATACTAGTCTAATTTTGTTTACAGGTCCTTCAAACATATATATCTTGAAACTCAAGTTTATTGGGGCACATGCTTAAATATTTAAACGTTCACCTTCAGAGAATATGTCCCATGTTTAAAAGTAGACAATCGGCTATTACTTCGAGTTATACTCAATTATTACTATATCAATATTCTTCATCTTTCTACTGTTTGAAAGTAGTTTAACCTTATTCGAATTTGAAGTGATTTACTGTAGAAATTTGATTTTCCATACAAGTTAAACAATTTTACTGTTTTTTATTTCCAAATTCCTCTGCATTATATTTATCAGAATAATTTTTAACTAAAATCTAGTATTTAAAGTATGCGCTAAATTTTCTAACTTAGTCTCTGTGGAGCTGTGATTAAAATTGTTCTCTACACTTCATCTCATACCACTTTTAGATGGTTCCCAACTCTTCTGTAGTATATTTTACTCATAATTTAGCATACTAACTTGTATATCCTGTCACTGTTATATTATATATAATTGTAAAGTTGTGTCGCACAAACAATACTCTTTTATTTCGTGGTTGGAATCGAATTTCCTATTTATCGTAATAGTAGTAGTTGGTTAGCTAGTTTTTACACATATCTTCTTTAAATCAATATTTATTTCATGCCAATACGAAATTTGTTTTTTTTTATATATAAAAAAACAACAAAGAAATCGTGAATATCATTGTACAACAGATCTTACTACTAAAGAATCAGAAGACATACAGAAACCATTACTGATGATGGTAAGTACGAAAAACTAATCCTATTCCTCCGTAGCATTAACTTTTTTTGTTTTCATTTCTGAGCTGTATGTGAATAAATGTGATAACGAATAGTATTCTCACTTTCATTGATTGTTATGTTTTACTGTCTAACATCCGTTGGATACTTTTACTTCACTCGACTCTTCCGAAATCAAAACAAGAACTGAAAATTAGTACTGTATATTCCAGTAAACTTGAACAGCAATGTCTAACATTTCAGTTCGCTGATTAATTGATTGAAAAAGGACCATTTAGTGTATTCCGATTTGAGCCCGATCAGATAATGTAATAGCCAGGACTCTATTCTGCAAACAATTAATATAGTTACTTAATGCTCTTATTATGTTAAAATTTACACTGTTGTAACCTAATTTGATAAGCACTTATAACAAGTTCTACTTATTTTTGTTAGTGAGATATGAATCTACCATAGATTTGTCAAACAAGAATATGCTGTCCAGTTTTGTGTTGAATAAAAATAACCGCCCTTAAGTGTTTGTTTTAGGTAGAATTATTTTTGTCGAAATCTTTGTCCCTATATATATCATCTACAGAAACTTGGCAAGATCTTATGAGTTAAACATTATTTCTTAATTTTGTATGCAATTTGTAGTGTTCTTGAAGCAATTTTAAAGAAAGTTTATGACTAAGACGTGAATCGGTTAGCTGAAGCTAGAGATTCCATCGTGGATGATGTAGCTTTACCCTATGATAATATGATGACCTGAAATCATTTGGTAACCATCGTTCAAATGTGAAAATCAAGTGTGCATACAGTCTCGGTAATAAGTTTTTTTTACATAATTGAAAACACTGTGTATCTAAGCTGTTGAAAGTGATGTAGCAAAAAAATATCTGTACCATCACATTTCTGAATACATATCAGGACAAACTTGATGTGTGGTAGTGAAAGTAAACATGACTGTCCACTTAGTGTGAAAAACCAGACATTCAACTTACCGACTATTAAATATATGAATTCTTTTCCTGTTATTGATTTCCACTCTGATCTCATTAAGGTCGACTGCTTGTAACTGCGTTAAATTAAGTATTATCTAGGGTATATTGTGTCTCCCTCTTACTGATCGTGACTCGTGTATTTAGTATAACTGGATCCAATGCGTGTATAGCATATCGTTTTAGCATTCGATCTAGTGATAACAAAATCTCGGTTCTCAGTCCATTTATCGCATTACAGTAGTATACCGCAGAAATAGAAAGTATTTTTATTCTTCCATTTTGTCAAAACTGTTATTTGTAAACTCACAGTGTCCATTATTTAAATGGTCGAATGCACAGCACGTCAATTCAGAAAGTTTTACATTACAACTGTGGTGATGATGTTTTACACTGTCTTTGAACACGGCTGATTTCATAGAATCGCTATACGTAAACAACAACAGTTTGGGTTGAATAAATTGTATTATGTAACTTACCAGGTGCATAAATAATATATTTGTAATATCCCAATAAGTAGAAAATTAGATTTTCTAACGTTTCGTGACTTAGTGTAAGTCACTTCTTCGTGTTCATGTCGTTGGTTTTGAGCGACACTAAAATGTGACGGCTAGTGATAATACGCAGCTGCCCATACCAAATATAGTAGGGCAGAGTTCGAACCCTGAACATTAAATCATCTTATAACGATAACTTCTTCGATTTTCTAATGTACAGATAACGCTAATAATTTTACTGACGATCATTAAAGCATTTGTTATCTGACTAAGGAATTAATTTACAATGATTAGCTAATATTGCAAAGGATGGAAATTCGCAATAAGTAAGTTTTGTTAGACCATGTGGTTTGCTTGACTCTCGCAAATTAGTCAAGAATCCTAAAACTTAATAATTCAAGTTTCAACATAAGAAAGATTACTTTAATTTCCGTTAATGTTGGTTGTGCTGCACAATTGTTGAATTTGAAATTTCATAGACACAATCATGATCATTCACTTGGTAGTGTTACTCCACGTCTTAATTAATGTAAATACGTCCCATGTTTAATGATGTTGATGAAGACAGTCTTATTACTTACGAAAGGCAACTTGACATCAGTTTAGCAGACTGACTATTTCATGTATGTTTTCTGAAGTACACGCATAATCACATCATATGTATATATGTAAACAGAAAAGGATATTTTGTACGTTTTTATACCATATATACTGCTTAAAATCTGTTGTATGTCCATCGTTAGTCAAGAATTGTGATGTGTAGTGTACTATACCTCAAGCCTGAGTGGTTTGTATTGATATGTAGTACGTAAGATACAGTCAAAAGTGTCTAGTTTTTGATTCATAAGTCATTCTTCCTAGCTTATGTTTTTCACCTTCTTCATGTTACATATACATTAGCTGATTATACATGTTTTAGTGAATCAAATCAACTAATCTGTTTTTTGAAAGTATTTTCTTTTACAGTTTTCTTATTTTTGTGTCTAAAAATCCCAGATTAATATCTCTTTATTTTTGTGTCTGTAATTTAAGTCAGAACAGGCAAAAGTTATTCGATATCAAATACCATCGACTGATGGAAACGTTTCGCGAAAGCAGCCTAAAGGTAGATTTTATTTTATATTAGAATTGTCATAGGATTCATTGTTCATGTTAAATATGTCTGTCTTTATGTAGGTCAAGTAATCACACTTGAAGGATTTCAAACATGAGCAAATCCAGTTGATATTTAATTAAAGCTAAATGCAAAGTACTGAAATCAGCACTCTAAGCGATGCAAAATACCGTACTATGATAGAGGTACAAATAAAATGATGAATCTCAACCTCCGGTTTGTAGTTTTCTGAATACAATGAATCCAAAGCTACTCAAGTGCACCAATAAAGACCGATTAGCACCTATAACAAACCATACTATTGAATAACACTATAAAATGATACTAACTTAAAGAACTGGTCAATTAACATGGGGATTTACGGGAAATTCCTTCTCAAATATAAGAAGTCTAGTTCAGAAAAAGCATTCATATCATTAATTCGCTATGGTTATTGTCTGATGAATATTTAGAAATCCTTGAAGACTCAGACGACGGCTGTTGTTGATGTTCTGCCCAATTATGATCTGACTTATTTTATTCATACTGTAGGGCCAGTAAAATGTCACTGAACCCTAGCCAAATCATCACTGAATATCGAACAAATCATCGATCCTCGTCAAGGTCGAGGACAACCAACACGCACAAGTTAATCGTATGCCATGGAGTGATGCATGCAGTGGTGGTCTCGCTATCTTCTCTGCACTCATTCTTACTAATACATTTTCATAATAAGGTCTTTTGTGTTATTTGATCTTCAAAGCAACCATGGTACTTTCATACGTCGAAGGGTTAATCCACGTTAGATGCTGACCGCGAGATGTGACTTCGAAGTTAGCTGGTTCGTCATACCGTTCCCGTCTAACTCGACTAGACCTCCAATCATTCAACATGGATAATCTGCGTTAGTGATCTACAATACATTGTATCCTTTGTGCTCTATTTTTTATGAGGCAGATGAAATGTATCTAGTAGTAGAATCCATGATGCGCGTTTTCTCCTATTTTGGACTCGCCAGCTGGGTGCATCTAAACCTCAGAGTTGATGTTCGCTGCGGGACTCGAACCTACCACCTTTTGCTTCAAGCGCCAACATACTGTCCACTTAGCTACTGAGTCCAAGTAGTCAATTGTTCAACAGACACGAATTTTAATTTGTAATGATTTGAAGTGGACGGTATTGTGCTCGATTCCCGGAGTTAACATCGACATTTTTGTAGATCCTTAACTATCATAGTTTTATAGATTTGGCACATATTTTCAAGCTAATGATGTAAACAATAAAGTGTTTGTTGTTTAAATCATTATCATAATAACGTCAAAAGCTGAGAAAGTTTATTTGACCGTATCTTCGTACTGTTCTCTTGTTTTTACGACAATTTTGAAATGCTTTTGAAACATTTTTTTAATGTATCAAACGTATAATATTCACTTCGTCGTTTATGAAGGTCTTTTTGGTTTGACTCTACACTGCAGATTGAGATCATCTCTATAACCACTAAATACTAAAGAAATCTAGACAGTTGTCTTACAAGTTATGGACTCTTCGTCAGTCTTCGCCATATTTTCATTTTCGATGACTTTCCACCGAAACCCAATTCGAATAACTATCAGGTATTCATCATTGACTTGCTTCAAAAGGGATTTGCAAAACTCGATAATTTGAAGTTGTCACTTTTCCCGACCGTTGTTGCTACCTTGACGTGGTGGTCGGGCTTGCCTATCGTGATGAAGCAACCGAGCTATACTGGCTGGAACAACCGTTCCTCAAGGTCCTACCATGTCAGACAGGTCGGTTGAAGAGCGGTAAGACTAAAAGCAACGAACCCAAGGTCCGAAGGCGAAGTCGTACTGCTGACTGTACAGAGGTGTGACAGCAGTAAGGTGTTTCCTTCAGACAACCAGCATGACAGCGATGCTGCCTTCCCACAAGGAGGGGTGGGGTTAGAAAAGGTCGACCCTAAAAATGCACACCTCGCCTTATCCCACGGATATCCGTCTCCGGCGGTAAGGTCTCAATAAGTACGGAGCTAACACAAAAATTACCCATAACAAGGTCGTGTGTGACCGACCTCAAGCAGTTGTCCCTTGGGCACTGCGGTCACGCTCTCAGGTCACTAAGACCACCTTTAATCCAAATTCCTTTTCAGGTACCTCCAGAAGAACCCTTCCACGGTGTGGGCAACCGGGAAGTGAAAACCGCCCTCATACCTCTAACAGCACTCAAGACCACTGTATTCATAATCAACCTTCCTCTTCAATTCCTATTATTCCTCCTACATCGACTTTCAACTTTAAATTTCCTCTCTCGGCTTCCACCTCAAGTGTCACCATAGCCAACGATTCTAGTGCGCAAAATACTGTCCCAGGTCTACTGAAACCTCGCTCCAAACTACACATTGGAGCCTTCAACGTACGAACCCTATGTCAAATTGGTCAGCAGGCTTCCTTGGCTAAAACCCTAGAGTCTCTTACCATTGACGTGTGCTGTGTCTCCGAAACACGCATACAGGATTCCAGTGTGGTCATTCACCTGACCTCACCTCGGCAAAACGGAGAGCCAACGAGGTACACCCTTCGTGTATCTGGTGACCCGATGGCAAGTTCTCGTGGACTGGCAGGTGTAGGCATAGCACTAAGCATGAGGGCCGAACAAGCACTGCTAGAGTGGATCCCCGTCAACAGTCGTCTATGTGCTGTTCGGCTGAACGGCTACGTAAGAACTCGGAAGGATAGGGACACACGCCGTTGCCTTTTTGTCGTTTCTGCATACGCTCCCACTGACTGCAGCTCAGATGATGTGAAAGATGAATTTTACAGAAAGCTGTCCGAACTTCTTCAGAAAGCTAAACGCTCAGACATAGTACTCGTAGCAGGTGATTTTAATGCTCAGATAGGCAGTTTAAACCAAACAGAAAGACATTTAGGTGGATATTTTAGTATTCCGACACAGCGAACAGACAATGGTGAGCGTCTGCTGCAGCTATGTTCAGACAATCGTTTATTTTTAGCAAACACAAATTTTAAGCATAAGGAGAGACATCGTCTAACATGGCGACCCCCTACAACAAACCAACGATGGACTCAAATAGACCATATTGCCATCAGTCATCGTTGGAGAGGGTCGGTAGAAGATTGTCGCTCATTCTGGAGTACCTGCTTGGACTCCGACCATGCCCTAATACGGGCACGCATCTGCTTGCGCCTCACTGGACGCAAAAAAGCCACATTAAAAAGACCCGTTAGAACTGATTTGAGTAACGAGAAAACCAAAAGTAGGTTCCAGGAACAACTGAGGTCACACTTAGGTAGTTCTGAAGACGAGGCTGACCCAGATGTTGCTTGGAAGGGCATACAATCAGCTGTGGAAACAGCAGTGACATCTATTACTGACTTAAATCACAGAGTTGCAAGGAACCAGTGGATTTCTTCAAGGTCTGTCACACTGATGGATTCTCGCAAACTCGTCCCATCAGGTCCTGAACATGATGAAGAGCGAAAACAAATCAGATCTAGGTTAAGAAAAAGTCTAAAGAACGACCGTGAGCAGTGGTGGGTAACGAAAGCAAAAGAGATGGAAAAGGCGGCGACTATAGGGAACACAAGACAGCTTTACAGACTAATTAAAGAAACTGGAATTAGTAAGTCAAGTGTAAGTGAGATTATTTCGGAAAAAGATGATACTCTCATCTGCTCCCAGTCCAGACGTTTAGAACGATGGGCGGAACATTTTAGAGAACAGTTCAGCTGGCCTTCAGCTACTCTACAACTACCCTCCATTCCTAGACAGTGTGAATGGAACATTGAAATAGGTCCCCCTACTCTTGCTGAAGTTCAAAAGGCTATAGTTAATCTGAAACGAGGAAGGGCAGCTGGTCCAGATGGATTGACTCCAGAGGTCTTTAAGGATGGTGGTCCAATTTTAGCGATTAAGTTGACTAATATTTTAGCTAAGATCTGGGAATTAGACTTTATCCCATCTGACTGGTCGCAATCACTTATCGTCCCAATATATAAGAAAGGGTCAAAATCATCCTGTGACAACCACAGAGGGATTAGTTTAACAAACATAGTATCTAAAATACTGGCCTCGATAATTATCAAACGCCTAACTAAGACTCGTGAACTACAAACTCGAGAGAACCAAGCTGGCTTTAGACCTGGTCGTGGCTGCATCGACCACATATTCACCATTCGTCAGGTTCTAGAACACAGGCATACCTATCGGCGTCCGACGATGGTGGTCTTTCTTGACTTAAAAGCAGCATTTGACTCGGTAGACCGCGAGACTCTGTGGCAGTGTCTGTCATTGAAAGGCGTACCTCAGAAGTACATAAACCTTGTGAAGGCTCTTTACTCGAACACTACTAGTCGAGTCAGGGCTTATGGCGAACTGTCATCTACTTTTGCAACCTCAAGTGGTGTCCGTCAAGGCTGTCCACTTTCTCCATTTTTGTTTAACTTCATCATAGACCTATTGATGGAAATAACACTCTCGTCGACTGAATTCTCGGGTATTGATCTCCTTCCAGGAGGTCCACTTATCGACTTAGAATACGCAGATGACATAGTCCTGTTTGGTGAAGACGCTGAGAAAATGCAGAGTCTTCTGGTAGCACTAAGCAACAATGCCAGAATGTTTGGGATGCGCTTCTCTCCCTCTAAATGCAAGTTGTTGCTTCAGGACTGGTCTGCGTCAACACCTGAACTAAGGATAGGGAGTGAAGTAGTCGAACGCGTTGATAACTTCACTTATCTTAGAAGTCTGATCAGCCCTAATGGGTTGGTATCGGACGAAATCTCAGCACGGATTCGAAAAGCTCGTTTGGCTTTTGCCAACTTGCGTCACCTTTGGCGAAGGCGAGATATCCGTCTATCAATAAAAGGACGAGTGTACTGCGCGGCAGTTCGTTCTGTTTTAATTTACGGCAGCGAAACATGGCCCTTAAGAGTAGAAGACACCCGTAAGCTACTAGTATTTGACCACAGATGCCTTAGAAATATTGCTGGCATCTGCTGGGATCACCGGGTAAGTAATAGTGAGGTTAGATGCAGGGTATTAGGGAATGATGGTAAATCAGTTGATGAGGTTATGAATCTTCATCGACTGAGATGGTTGGGCCACGTATTACGTATGCCTGAACACCGATTACCACGACGTGCAATGCTAACCGGGGTAGGGGATGGTTGGAAGAAAGTTAGGGGCGGCCAAACCAAAACGTGGCATCAGTGCCTGAAGTCACTAACTTCTAGTCTGAGCCACGTTGGTAGATGCAGACTACTTGGTTGGGGTCCGCGTGACTTTCGTAACCAATGGTTGGAGACTCTTGGTGACATGGCTCAGAATCGATCACAGTGGCGTCGGTGTATACACTCCCTGTCTTCCCTTAAACTAAGAGACTAAAATCACTTCATTCTTTCTGTCTACGAACTAATTCTTTCTTCCTATACTATATCCTTATTGCAACCTTTGACCTAACCACTCCTATGAATCCGGTGTTCATCTTGCTGTGCTAATGAGGTATGGCAACCTGGACCGATGCACATATGTGCCTGGTCCTACGTTGTAGCTGACTGACTGACTGACTGACTGACTGAGTTGTCACTTTGAAGTCAAACGCTGTCTGCGATAAGACAGATTTACATCAACAACACTGAATGTCGATTGATGCTAAAAACTAGGGAATATTGGATTTTAACTAGGGTGGCCTATTTATAACGTGCTGTATTCTATTCGTGTGTTTTTATGTCCGCTCCTGTGTGGCGTATTGAGTACATGTTGCTGAGAAGCCCTAAACTTAGACAAGATTGCTCTGTTATGTTGTATGATTTTCAATAATTCTCTAACGTACATAAATCTGTATCATGTGCATATTATGTGATAAGGAGAAGAATTAAACTGTATATTTGATCAGATCCCTGATTCATCTAACTTATTTTTTTGTACATTTACCACTTGGTATATTTTTTTAGAGGGTATGATCAATATGACTGGTAAATCATATGTTTGCATTCTTCATGAGTATTGCCAAAATGTTATACGTCGTCCGCCGACATATCAGACAACAGTTCTTGAAAATGATAAAAATCCCTATCAAATGACAGTATTCATTAATGGTAATCCATATGGAACCGGTACAGGGCAAAGTAAAAAGTGTGCAAGATTAGAAGCGGGTATGTCTTTTCTTGACTGTTGAAAATGGTTATTTATTTATTCTTGTATTAAAGCTAGTCGAATTATGTAACCCTGTTACTTTATACGTTGAAAATGTTACATGTCTCAAACATTCTTGGTAGAATAAATTGAATTCAGTAGAGGATAAAGGATAATCAGAGTTATGAATAAGTTCAATAGTGATTTTATATATAGACTTAATAATTATCCCAAAACTTTTCGTCTGGCTCGTTAAAATATAGTTTGTAATTATCAATTATAATCAGAATATTAATGTCTTATTTGATAACTTTTTATGTTCTCACTCTTCACAATTATACATTCACTTAAAATAATATCTGATGTTCGCTTTATTTTATTTTATGAAGCTCGTAAGGCGCTTGAAGTTTTAATTCCGGATTTTCAAAAGATTGCATGTAACAATTCACATCAAACAGGTCCAGTGGTAGCCTCTGATCGTGATATGCAGTTGTTCGATTCCATTTCGGTGACTGATCCACGTTTATATGAATTATCTGTGCGCATGGCATTACCTACTCCATATAATCTACTTGTTGAATGTTTAAGTCGAAGTTGTGTTCCTGAGTCTGATTTGAAGTCAAATATGATATCTCAAGGACGCAGTAAACACTTTTTCACTTTACAGCTGAGAGAACATACTGTTAAGGTAGGCTTAACTATTCCTATAATTATAATGATAGCACGATATGTAATTTACTTATAACTTTGAAAAGACCAATACAAATAAAATGGGATTACATCTACTCTCTGAATGTGAAAGCCATTATTAGGAAAAAATTTAGAGTGTTTATAATAAGATAACAATGTTTATCAATGTATCACACTTGTTAAACTCTTCGAATGTTGTACACTACACTATTTGAAAACGTTTGGTATAACAATCTGTTGTCCAGTTTTATGAGTCCTATGTAAACCATACAATGTCAACAAGTAGGACATTTTTGACTTTAAACATTCACAAGTTGATTCGTTTATATTTTTCTCTTTTATAGCCTGACTACAATTCTTATTGGTTCTTATTGTTTTATCTTTGTTCTGTTTGTTTATAAGAAAGCGTTTGGTATCATTTAGTCATTTAATTATTTCTAAATGGTATTCTTCCTTAGTTAAAACACCTGTATTGGATTATTTATTTATTTTAACACAAAGATATTGGTACAAGGAAGCACCAAATACATATGCGCCACACAAATCCCATTTAATTTGTGTGAGGGCTGTGATGCTGCCCGGGTGTCTAGACCGAAGCAGGTAGTTTTTTTAGGGGGCCACACTCGAAGCCTTCGACCTGAAGGTCTGATCCACAAGGCAGTGGAGCAGCGCCAGGAAATGCAGTCCCATGGTAGTCGGTGACCAACGATTGGTTCATACACCATTTGTTCTCACAGGGTACTGGAGCCCATGTGCACCATTGGTTTGGAATCAGGATTTTTCCTTGTCCCCCAAGTGGACCCTTTGTGTCCACCAACCCAGTTAAAGCGCCGGACATTCGTTTTTCGTACTCTCAATTTCATAAACAACACCCGTGTTGCGAGAAGGCAGTGAGTAGGACTTCCCTGACAGAGGCTATATACGCGTGGCCATGTGCGAGCATTTCGAGAGGGATAGTGGACTCTTCACACTCTCGGCCGTACCAGGGCGTTTGGAGGGGCATCCTGGAACCCTCATGTGGTCTGTAATAAATATAAAGAGGTTGATTGTGTGATAACATATTGGTTTACTAAACTCATAAACGTGACACTGGATCAACCTTTTCTGTCTTTCAAATAGGCTTTCCATCATACAATTGATTATACATGCCTGTTACATTACATTTGTAAAAATTATTTTCATTGAATTAAATTAGCGCGTATGTGAAAGAAATAGAGCATACGGAATAAAATGAATTCACTTCGTTCTACAATGTTCGTTACTCTTGGTTTACAAAAGTAGAGAAATACCTTACTCTTATTAATGTAACGACTTTTTATAATTATATCTTTGAAACCTCCTTAGTAAATTCATTATTATTAGTCACTGAATAATTATGATTGAAACTAACCATCTCAATGTTCATAGGTTAGATGTAAAAACAAAAGAGAAGGTCGTCATTTATCTGCTCAACATCTTTTAGCCCGTCTACATCCTGAAGTTAGTACCTGGAGTGGTCTTTTACGTATTTATGGTCCGGGTAGTAAACCAGACAAGCGAAATGAGTTGGAAACAATCCAAGATGCACAAATTCAACAGAAGTCTGCTGTAAAAGCTAGTTTAATTCGTTTATTAAAAGCGAAAATGAGTGAATTAGCTGATCAGTGGGTAAATAACTGTTTTCAATAAAAGATTTTGCTGTAATATGTGGAGTTAAAATAATTTCATTTCATTTATCTTGAACTCCAAACCTTACTATTTAAACTGTTAAGTTGTTGAAGTGGTTTTCACCTGGAGTTTTCCAGCTTGCATAATACGATCATTTTTATGACTTTATGTCTATCCGTTTATCTGTTGAGGTCTTTTTTGATAGAACACCCAAATCTCTATTTTAATATCACATTCTTATCTAACTTACAGTGTTAATTATCTGGAAAATATGGAATAATAGTCTATATGTGCTGCTTAAGATCTAGACTACTATTTTTTATTTCGTTATATAGAATTTTTCAGCCATAACCAATCCCGATTGAATGGATTTATTTAAGGAAAATCAGTTGTTTATTTCATGTAAATGTACTTCCTTTTATATGCCTACATCTTACATATGACCCCTCTCCCTAAAATAGTTTGATAAAGTTTCGTAATCAAATATTACTTTATTGATGCATGTTTATTTTTAACAAAGAACTCCACATATAACATTCTGTGATGACTACCAAAATGTATCAGATGTATAAAAAACGTCTACTGTGTGAAATATATGAATGAGGCTTTTAACCCCATGCTTCAACAGACAGCGAGGCTCAACTGTTCGAATCTGAGCGCTTTAACCGTTGAGTTATTGCTTCATTATAAATATTTTTCATGTGATCGCAACATTAGATTCCATGTACTTCTGGTATGATTTTTTATGTATAAAGCAACCAGTAGAAAATCACAGACTATTTAATCACCATTGAGTATTTTGATGACATTACGATGTGTTTACAAGTATCCTTACTGATGTATGCTACCAAACAACCAGTCATGCTCCATGTCCTTGGCGAATTCGATAAATGATCTAAACTGTTATTTATAGCTAACTAACTTATATAACTGTTATTTATAGCAGTGGTTCTGCGCTTCCACATTAACTTTCGTTTCCATGATCAATTCCAAAGTTGACGATATTCCCTAGGATTTTTTATTATAGTTCTATCACATCTGAACATGTGAACACATATTACGTATGTCTTATGAATAAATAATTAGTTTTGTGTCTTTCCATGAATACTTCCTGTTAGCGTAGCATCGTTGTCTGTTTCCCTAGTAATATTTAATCTTTATCGTTTTTTAATGTCAATTTTGTAACCAGTCCAATTTAATTATTCGGATCTCCGTAAATTCCTTGACACTTTGTTTTGGATTTAGGAAAAGTCTGGCGGAAATTCGAATCCGAAAGGGAAGTTTTTTGTTTCACCCTACAACCTTCCTGTGGTCGCTTTCCATCCCGACTCTGAGGGTGACTTGTACAGTTCTGCACCGATTGCATCTTCTTCCTCCCCGCCCATACTACCCCCAACATCGGATTAGTCAATTTTGTAGTGTGATTTTCATTTCCAATAATAAAAAATTTCCATTTTTCTTCCCGTACTGCTCACTGATTTTTCTGTATTTACTTTGTCACTGTACTGAATATAAGTCATAATACTTGACCGATTGAACATTTTAACTTCATTGGCGTTCAGGTGGAAATTCTGACATTAAGGTAGTTGGTTGTTTAGATTTCTCCCTTTTAGTAACTATTATTTTAATGCAAGATATATATTTGACCTGCTGTTACTTAGCACTTCGTCATTCGGTTTATGTGAGGTCTGGTATACTGCCCGGACGCTCAAACCGAAGCAGATGTTTTCCTTAGGAGGTCACTCCCCTAGTCGTCTGATCTACAAGGTAGTGGAGCAACGTCAGAAAATGCAGTCACATGGTAGCCGGTGACCAAAATAAATGTATACGCCATTTCTTCCCTCAGGATAATGTAGATCATGTGCACCATTGGTTTGGAATCGAGGTTTTCAAACTCTCCGAGATTAATCCTCCGTATCCACCAGTAACCCTGTAGAACTATTTTCTACTGTGATACTAGTACTGCTCGAATAATAGGCCTAGTCCTAGAATTGTAGATTTGTCATGATATAACTGCCTTGGGCATTATCGCACAGTAAGACAATATCGTCCGCATACTCAAGGTCGAGGAGTCGTTCTCCAGGCAACAGATCCACACCACCATTACTTACATTCATCAGAGCTGTTTCCAGAATGTCGTCGATGGCAAAGTTGAAGAGGAATAGTGAGATTGGGCAACCCTGTCTAACCCCACTGCTCGAATGGAACAATGGAGAGAGGTGGTTGTATGCCCTCGTTCTGCCTAAGGTGTTTGTACATAGGGCCTTTAAGATGTTAATAAACTTCTCAGGCACACCCTTCTTCGATAGACAATCCCAGAGAACAGTCCTGTCCAACGAATCGAAGGCAGCCCTGACGTAAAGAAACACTACGATAAGTAAGTATGACGGTGTTCTAACATTTGGCGGGGGCTGATGATATGATCAATACATCCTCGACCAGAACAAAACCCAGCCTGCTCCTCGCGAGTCAATCTTTCTCGGGTTTTGAACAATGTATGACGGAAGCCAATAGCTTGGACGCAATCGGAAGTAGACTTATCCCTCGATAGTTGTTACAAGAACAACGTGAACCTTTTTTAAAGATAGGGACAACTATCGACTCATTCCATGACGTTGGTACACTCTCTAGCTCCCAGACCTTTGTAAACAACGTCGTCAGTTTTTTAGTCAGAAAGTCACCTCCATCTTTAAAAATAGCCGGAGCTAAGTCGTCTGAGCCAGGTGATTTGTAGCGCTTCAAGAGTCGGAGTTCTTTGCTGACTTCCTCCTCGTTTGGTGGATCAAACGTCACCGGCCATGGAGGGCAGGACAGTCTGACCGATGTTGCCGGAGCAGCAGGCCAGCTCATTAGCACGCTCCGACCACCAGGCTTCTCGGTCCTTACGCAAGCTTTGCCCAATTTCCTTACGTAACATCCTTCGTTTATGGTCAAACTCACGGTCACCCGGAGTAGACCGACGGGCTTCAATGAGTTGTAAGGAACCTGCAGAAACCCAGTGCTAATAAGCGGGACGTTTCGCGAAGCCGCAAGCGGCTTTACTCGCCATTTTCATGGCGTCATGCAATTGCGACGAATGCTCATCTATACTTTTCGGTGGAATGGTAGCTAGCCTAGAGGCTAGCTCGGTTCGATACTTACTTGCAACAGAAGTTGCAACCAACTTACTGACATCAATCCGTTGGTGGCGGTCACTTCGTTGGCCACTGAAAAGTGAGGCAAGATTGGCGCGGACCAAGGCATGGTCAGAGTCCAGATAGGTACTCCAAAAGGAGTGGCAGTCTTGTACACAACCACGCCAGCGGTAGCTGATCGCGATGTGATCAATCTGAGTCCAGGCTTGAGATGCAGAGGGAGGACGCCAGGTGGCACATCGGCGATGACTGTGCCGAAAGTTAGTGCTAGCCAGAAACAGGTTGTGGTCTGTTTACAGTTGCAGTAGACGGTCCCCGTAGTTTTGTGTTCAGCTTTGAAGATTATCTGGTTATGGTCCAATGCCACTACAGCCCCTCCAAGAAAGAGCAGTGTCCGTATACGCGTGGCACTGTGAGTGCATTTCGAGCGATAAAGAGAGCTCTCCCACACACTCAGCCATATCAGTGCATTTTTGGAGCCACCTAATTCACTCAATATGTGAACATCAGAGATGGGTTTCGAGTATGTTATGCCTTGATCTCGATTGGCTCGACGAGATTGTATGATTCCATGCAATTTCAGGGTGGTTAATCCTCTCAGGTTCGATTTGTTCCTTAAAGTAACCAATAGAGATCGAACAAACGAGAATAGTAATTCATTTTTAAGGTAGCTCCAAGTTACATTGAGCATGCGATTTTACGGACAATATCAAACTTAAAATTACTTTACAGGGATTACTATAGGGAGATATGCAACTGAGTTGTTGTATTGTGACGTACATGGATGTTTTGTAATATGGAAACAAAGTTAGAACATGCCATATATATAGATATACTAATGTAGACAGAATTAAAAACTAGTTGGAGAAAAGGATCGCCATGTTCAACTTTATTATGATCTGTGAAGACCGAAGTGCGTTCTTCACAAACGGCAAATCGTATAGATGTTTATTGAGGTTGAAGAACAAGTAATGTCAAATCACAAGGACCTATCCATCACAAAAAATTACGGCGACTGAAAATTTATCTTCATAATCCTAAAAACTGTCCGACTTGGCAATTTGCAGTACATGATACTGTAGGGTCACTGAAAAAACGATTAGTTCTTAATACTTTAACCTCTCATTCTGAACTCCTACCCTGACAGACTAAAAGCAGACGTTTTATCGTTAACCTTCCGACGCACAGAAATTCGTCTATTTATTGAGATTGAAATGAGAGGTAGGGCATAAAATAACTCAACCTCTTGCTAACGTTACCTCTTCTTTGTTGATACGACCTCGATTGGTTGATTTAGTGACCGGCAGTTTGTGTTTGAATAATACAACAAAGTTCGCTTGTTTTAGGCCCTCTTCCCTTTCTGTTTTATGGCGTTTTGAAAGTTCTGGATATTGTGAGAAAAATTTGTTGATGCATCATCTCCAATGAGTTTATGGTTCTATATTTTGTGGTCGGATAGAATTTTTCCGTGGTGTTTTGATGTTTTGTTCTTACGACCACCAGTAAAAGTGCATCTTGTAGTTTGAATACGGTTCACGTCAAACTCAGAGTTATTATCAACAGAAATTTCTCTGTCAATTTACTATACAGTTGAAAAGAGTTCGAAAAGCATAAACGTCAAAAGTGCAGATAACGAGTACTCCTTGTATTCATCTGTGGAGTAAAGCAAACCATAGTGAGCGTTGGGAATATATGTTCATCCTTTTTAAATGGGTATTTGTCGCTGATAAAAAGCCCCAAGTTTTCGACCCCGGCATTAAAGTGTTAGAATGTTAACTTACATATAACTAATCAGGATCATGTACTTTGATTTTCAGCAAATGATATGAGTGGCTTTATGTGAGATTTTGCATACGACAGTGTCTTCTGAGATGGTTCACAGCCAACGTGTTTTGCTAGCCTTATAGTTTGCATTCGGCGAAGTAAAAGATTGTCTTCCACAGAGAGGAGGAATTTAGCTCAAACACTTCAACAATTATCTGTGTTGAACAACGTGGTTGAATGTGATGGACGCAAATCACAGAAATATAACCGTCACCGGCGTCTATACTATGAACTGCAACGTCACCAAAAGTAAGCGCGTTATTGTAAATACGAAATCCGGTTACTCTCAAAATGGTTTTTTGTATGTCAGCATGTTGTAAAAGATTGTTTTTTTCAAAAGACAGTATTATGGCACAAATCTTTTTGGTGTGCATGGATGAATTATCAGGTTCAAGTTGAATCTGCTACATGACATTGAGTGGTATTGTACTTTTTAATGCAAACACTGCATTTGTTCTTAAGTAATATTCCATTGGATAGCTGTCGTTATATCCGCTTCTTTAAAGATCATATTAGACTCTAAATATGACGTAATATCTGTAAACACAACAACATGCAAATATAAGGACTGTTTATTTACATCGACAGGAAAATGCCTAGCGTTACTAACCAAGCCTCCAGTTGCCGAAATGGTTCGGCTGATATAAATGAGCAGTTTAAAAGGTTGATGTTCAATAGACTTTTCTCTTTTGGATCATTTTCAGAACGCGCTTAACGAATTACGACGCGTAAAACGATGACAGTTCAACTGTATCATAAATTACGGATACTCAGTATATTTAAGTGGAAAGATAGCAGACTGTTACGAACGAATTCTCGGCACAGATTAAAAACAGTTTATTTAATGATGGCCAATTCAAGGTATACCCATCACAACTATCTGAATTACTAACAAAACCTGTGCCGTCACTTATTATCAATGCGACCAAGGACAATCCCTTTAAAAATATTTCGCCAGATCAGTAGTAAATACGTCATCATTCAAACTTGTGCTCAATAGGTTGTACATTAAGACCGGCCCTTCCTCAAGCAAGGCTATCAAGTAGTCAAAAGGTAGAAGACTGGCATCAACAAATATTAAGCTTAGGCTACAGATATTACACATACTTGTGATAAATCTCTTGAACAAAGACGACAGTACTATGATATGACGCAAATATTCAGGTAAACATATACATATTCATGAAAATTTATGTGTTTACAAGTACACGCCAACAATTAAGCAGGAGTTAGTGCGAAATAAAAGGTGGGACGACAATTTTTTTCTGGTGTGAACTTGCACATTATTGAATCCCATTGAGACCATGAACCGATCTGAGTTAACCAATCATCAAAAACATGGAAGCACTGAATGGCAGCTTCGTTCTGGAGTAGAACTCATTAGCAGTGCGCATCCACGATCCCGCAAACAGGGCTCCGATCCATGACCTACGGCCTCGTGAGTGAACGCTTAACCTTCAGGTCAAAGAGCCGTGATCCAATAATGTTAATGTCAGACGTCAAACAATCCAATGTACGTAGCGACTATCATCTATTGCCTTCAATTTATAACTGCTTCCACCGATCACGGTTTTACACAAGAATTGCCTCTCGAAGTTGAGATCATGAGCCAACATAAGCTAGACCAACATTGACAACCCGGAGACTAAACGAACATTCGTCTTGGTATGGGATGGCTCGTAGTAATCTACATTGTTTGTACGCAATCAAAGAGCCTGACTTCCAGTCCTGTATGCAAAGCCATGAATCTGTCCTGCTAAAGAGTCTCATTCAATGATGAAACGGCCGTCCAGCATTTCTAGGTATTTTATAGCGGTATAACTTAAATCCATGAATTCCGAGTAATTGTACATTTGTCCGTCAAGCACTTATTTAATGAATTTTAAACACTTTTCAAAAGAATAGGTCTAAAAATCAAATAAAAGATTGGAAAGTTGTTCAGTCTAGAAATCAGAATATTCTCGCCATAAAAATAGGTAGTCATGACCTTGAAACTTTCAGACTTATTTGGCGTTAGGTTAAGAATTTGCGCTGTGCGATCCTTATCAACCTACAGATGTTTCAGTTTCCTCCAGAGTATAGTAGAGTATCAGCCGTTGAAATGGAAAGAATGGCAGTTCAACACTTCCGTAAAGAACTGGTCAGCTTCGCACTCTCGGTCACAGCTATTTTCATAGGTAATATAACCTAGTGTTTTATAAGTCTACTAATACTTATAGTGGGTTTGGTTTTCACGGACAAATAGCTCTACAATCCTTAAAATGTATTTACAAATAAAATAATGCTTCCAAGTTACTGTCCTTCTTCTGTCTACCATGAGGTTAACCTCGGGAATATTCAAGTATATGTTTGGTTACTAAGTTAGTGGAAAAAGCAAGTTTGTATTGCCTCATTCTTATCAACATCATCTTGCTTATCAGCCAAATCTTGTATCCGATATATATTCTATTTCTTATCTGGGATCAGTCTTATAAGTAATACATTTACGAAGACTCCAAAATTGTTCACAAGCCCAAAGCAGATTACTTGTCAACTGACTATCGACTTTCCCATCAAATCATCAACGAATGGAATTCATTACCTCAGCACATAGTTGATGCTCCATTCGTCGACTCTTTCAAAAGAAAGTTGGATCAACTAAGAGACCATCATTTCCAGGACTAACGCAGGCCGCTGAGCAACAATACCAGGATGTTTGGTATGCGTTTCTTCTCCTCTAAATGCAAGTTGTTGCTTCGGGACTGACCTGCGTCAATACCGGAACTAGAGATAGGGAGTGAAGTAGTTAAATGCGTCGACAACTTGACTTATTTTGGAAGTCTGGCCAGCCATAATAGATTGATGTCTGACGAAATCTCAGCATTGATTCAAAAAGCTCGTTTGGCTTTTGCCAGCTAACGTCACCTATGGCGAGGGCGAGATATCCGTCTTTTAACTAAGGGACGAGTACACTGCGCAGCAGCTTGTCCTGATATACTTTACGGCTGCGAAACGTGGCTATTAAGAGAAGATACTCGTAAGTTACTAATATTTGACCATAGATGCCTTATGAATATTGCTCGCATCTGCTGCGATCACCAGGTAAGTAATAGTGAGGTTAGACGCAGGATGTTAGGGGATGATGGTAAATCGGTTGATGAGGTTGTAAATCTCTCTGTGTCCTGAATCAGATGCATGATCTTAAGAGCTTTTTTCTTCACTCATCGATGCGGACTACAAATTTTTAATGCATCTTCAGCATCCCAAGTTAGGCGTTTGATGATTTTTGAACAAAGTCACCGAGCACTGACTCGTTTTTAGTAGTTATGGGAATACTTCCTGTCATTTTCTTAAGTTCTACATCTAGCTTGTAAGTTAAAGATTACCAAAAAGACTGTTATATAATGTTCTTATCGCTGGAGCGTTCGTATGACAAGCTAATGTGCGGTAAATCAGTTACAAATGAGACTCATTCTGCCTGTATTGTATAGTCTCTTATGTGCTATTGGCTTCTGATCTGCATAGTCTTAATTGCAGAAATCCTATAACAAACCACACCAGCTCTATTTATTCGCTCACCTGTCAACTGATCTCCTACAATATGGTTGATGAGCTCCACTGGTCGGTATCGGCAGGTCATGTTCTCTCTGCTGACCACTGGCCAATGCTGTCCATGTCACCAGTTTCCCTATTTTGAAAAAAATACAGTGTTATGTTCTGTGGATATATTGGGGGTTTCGTGGCATTCTGCCAACATAGGTAGGTTGGTTTAGATCTCATAGATATTCAGTGTTACCATATGAGTAGGCTAGACAGCCACCGAAAGGAAGATTCACTCTTCTATCATTTATTTATTTGAACACAGATATTGGTAAAAGGAGGCGCCAAATATGCGCCACACAAATCCCATCTAATTTGTGTGAGCACTTTGATGCTGCCCGGGTGTCCAGACGGAAGCAGGGGTTCACACTCAGAGTCTTCGGCCCAAAGGTCTGATAAACAGGGCGGTGGAGCAACGTCAGGAGATGCGGTCCCATGGGATCCGGCGGCCAACGATTGGTTCGTGCGCCATTTGTTCCAACATGTTACCGGGGACCATGTGCACCATTGGTCTGAAATCAGGTTTTTTTAACTCCCCTAGGCGAATTCTCCATGTACACCAACCCGGTTAAAGCGCCGGACATTCGCTTTTCGTCCCCTCAACTTCATAAAAAACACGGTGCGAGAAGGCAGTGAGTAGGACTTCCCTGGCATAGGCTATATACGCGTGGCCATGTGAGAGCATTTCGAGGAGAGTGGGTTCTCCATACTCTCGGCCGAACCAGGGCATTCGGGGGAAGGAGGTATCTTCTGTCAATTAGGGGCTGTTAAATTACCTAGTTAAGAAAACCAACGAAATACGGGGACACGCTGTGTATACTGAGGACGTCCTGAGGCTGGTTATTTGACTGCGCCAAAAACGTTGATTTACTGCGCTTCCCCACTCTGAAAGACATATCACCTAAATCTAATAACATCGTTGTGATCGTTAGACGACTAGCATGCATTAAATATTTTATCTGCTCGAGTATACCGTGAACGCTGCTCAGAAGTGTCTCTCATCACTGTTTGTTACTTTTCCGAGTATACTCACTCATTGCGTGCATATATTTTCGGCAACATTAACTCATATGACTTGGTTCTTAGTTGTTTGCCAGCATTTCTTAGTTAACAAGTTCTATGGAAAGGCTTCCAGTTACTTAAATTATAGCTTAAGTATGTTTATCTGTGTCCAGTATCGCGGTACCGTTACCCCATTGTGGCATGCGACCTTGGGTTTGGAGTAGCTAAATGCTTTCCACAGGTAAACGTCTGTTATACCAAGGAATACTGACTAGTGATAAGTGAATATCTTTTATTGTACTAGGACCCTATCAACAATTTGTTTTGACATCTTACCATAAACTCTGAACTTCAGTGATAAGGGCCAAAAGACCAGAGGTGTAGTCTTCTCTGCAATATATTTCTCTGAATACATACGTACATAACTATGCTACAAACAGCTGGTCAATAATTAAATCATGAGTTTCTGAAGGAATATGGTCTATTATTTGTTCCTCAAATGCAAAGGCGACTAATTTAGCTCTTTGGAAAGTCCCTAAATGACACTGCCCAGTGTACCATTGTATGTATCGGTCGTAATATCCGCCACCTCGACCAAGACGATGTCCACTTCGTGTGAAGGCCAAACCAGGTACAACGATATGCTCTAAACGGGTATAAACAGTGACCAACGAATATAACACCAAGAAGCTCCCCTCGAAAAAATCCCACTGAAAAGACTTATTTCAGAATAAACTAATGTACAAAATCACATTTCTGTTAAGGGATACTTGGTTGGGGTCCGCGTGACTATCATAACCAATGGTTGGAGACTCTTTGTGACATGGCTCAAAACTGATCACAATGTCGTAGGTGTATACACTCTCTGTCTTCCCTTAAACCGTGAGATTGAAAGTGCTTCATATCTTCCTTTCTACGAACTAATTCTTTCTTCATGTACTATATCCTTATTGCAATCTTTCTTTTATATATTACCACCTCTGAATTAACTACTTTTATGTATCCGGTGTCCATCTTGTTGTGTTAATGAGGTATGGCAACTTGAACCGATGCATATATGTGCCCGGTTCTACGTTGTAGCTGACTGACTGTTCGGCCTTCGGAAGTCAGCCAGTAGAGTCTGTTTCTTACCATTTGCAAAATGTCTGAAACTTAGACAAGACTTCTAAATACTGGTCAGATTTATTAATCACTATGAATATTTGTACATCTTATCTCGTAACCGAAATGTTACTTCGTTTTCTGGTTAGGATTTTCATCACCGTCATGTATGTAAACCTGTATATAAGCCAAATTTGCTGCTATTCTATGGTTTAGAACCACTGCTGCTTTGGTTGGTGTCCATCCATTTATACAAGCTTAAAAGAAAACTAATAATCCATTAATTCCATTCATCAAAATGAAGAAACTCTTGGTTTAAGAAGTCTGTTTCTTTGTAGCTTCTATCGATCAACATAACTGATAATTCAAGTAAAGTTTTTTATTAACCTTAGCAATATACAATTAGATACAGTATTTACCCTGACTTGTAATTTCGTCCAGCTGTTCAACATATGAAACTGGTTCAGGTTCTTTAATCCCCCATTTATTAGATCTCCAGGATTCAATCTCTTTCAGTGATTTAACATGACGCATACACATAGGAGGAGAATCGTCTGACGCAGAAAACATAATTTGTGGAACAAATATACTCTTTCCATCAAGAAGTGCTTTTTCAATTACTGGTATTGTGTTGGGTTCTTCAGGGAGGCTAATATAAACAGCTAGTCTTCGCGAAGCACAATATTCAGGACTACTTAAAAACTAGAAAAATATTAGGCTAAAAATGTAGTTTAGCTTTTATAAGATACAATTACGTACAAAAAATGGAATCCAGAGTGATTGCATTATGATTCTGGATGAACTTTCTCACCGAAAACACTGAGAAGCTATCGTCAGCTAATCATTAATTATGAAAATCAATTCAAAAAATGGTCATCGATTAGTAATGGTAAGCTTTTAATAATTGATATTGTGGATTTTGTTAAGCCTTAAATTGGAAGAGTTATAGTTTGGTTGGTAGCTGAACTCTAATATTAAGGCTGAAGAAAACTGCAAAACATTCTCGAACTATGATATTCCCAGTATAATAGGATTTGCATGGAAGAAACATTGTAAACACTAACAGTCTTGCTTGTCAAAATAAAAGCCTGACCATATTGTTGTACACCTGCTGTAATGATAATTGCCTGTAGTGTTTGATGATAAACGGGTCCTAACGGTTATTTTATACTAAGAAGGACTATATCCGTCGTTTTACAACAGACTAGTTAATTTACTGTACATATCAGGCAGGTGGGCAAGTACTATGTACTCGGTCACAGGAAATATAAATGATAATTAGAGCAGTAATGGGATGGACACCTGTACCTACTGTGATTAGAAAAGTTGGAGTCGTTGTCATTGTAGGCAAAAATCACATGACTTTCATGCAAAAACCAGTCGTTATCTAGACCGACACAGTTATATAATCTAGAAAAATATACTGTTACAGACTTATTGAAGAAATTATTCAAGACGAAACAATTTAATACAATAAGTCTTCACCAATTTCTCCTTTACTAAGTAGAAGTGAACTAATGGTGCAGTTAGGAAGTCATTCCATTGTTCATTTACATGGCTTGTTTCAACCACTACGAAAACTCAGACATTCTATGTGTAATTCATTATATGCTAGAGTAAAGAGTTAATCAAAAGACGTAGGTATGTGTAATATACTTTCAAATCTTCTTACCTGCTTTAAGAGGTATTCTGATTTCTTCATGTGTACCGATGGTAATATTTGTCTCAGAATTCTTCGCATTCTTTGTCTAATTTCACTTTTACTAGTCATAAAAATTACTGAAGCAACAAAAAATACGAACTAAATTAATAGTTAAAATCCACTGATATCTTTAAAAAAGAGTAAAATCAACTGGAACTGTATATGGGAAGTTGTACTTTCGTAAAAAGATTCTGTACATACATAAATTAGCATAAAGATGACATAAATGTTGTAAATGTATTAACAGATGACACTGGCTTAGTTTTGATAGGCATCGTCGTCGTATGAGCGGTTTCTGTCTTGAAAATATTCATTTTAGACTTTTTCTTTTTCCTATTAAAAATAATATTGATTAATTAGTAGAAATAGGAAAAAAACCAACTTTGTTTTTTTCTTTGTTTCTGTGACAGATGTTTCTTGTGAAGTACTTTTCTTCATTGGGCTAAGGTTTTAAATAGGAATGAGGAATTATTTTAGAAATTGAATGTAAAATGAAACAAATGATACTGGAGTATAGTCAATGCATAAGCTAGGTTAATATATACGGTTGGTTTGTGGAGATTATTAATATCACAAACCGACCCAAGTTAAACATTCATTAAAAGCAATGGAAGGCGGTTGCAAGATATCACGGATTGGTGGACTTTAGATATATGCACCATTCAATCCCGGTTCAATAGTCTAGAAGTTGGGTTTCCGCCGCGAGACCAGGGTTTTGGGGTTTGATTCCTGGTGAGGTTGTAGAAGTGCAGTGCTGAGGAATACCATACTATGACAGAGCGGCTGTCCAGTGTTTTCTGGTTTTCGATGGATCGCTAAATTAGGTGGGTTTATGATACCGAAAGAATATGATAGGGTTTGAGGAAAGATATGATCATAAAATGATAGCAACTTCAGAGCCACTAAAAACCAGAGTAAATTGAACAACAGCTTCACACTAGTTTGGGGTTTCTCATTAATATGTCCACAGCCCCAAACTTGATCGATTTCAGGTCTTGCGGTGGGTGAAAACTATTAATTTAAGTGTATCAGTTCACGAAGAAGATAATCTTATACAGATGTAAGACTCTGTAAAAAACATTTAAGTCAGTTTAATATCACGCTAACTATAAAGATAGCAATCTTGAGGTTTATTTTGATATCTCAATGTACGGTTACAGAATAATTGAACCAGTGAAAATTCCGGGTTTTCCAACTTAAATGTATAAATTAAGTATATCGAGTACGAATTATACGACTTGTTGTATCATTATGTACACTTATTTATAATTTTAAACTTTGTATCGAGGTTTGTTCACTTGGTTTTCCTGGTATCTCTAATTTTAAAGATACATTTTTCAAACCATTTAATTTACAACAGAAAATAATGTTTATTTGCTTATTTTCCTTCTCTTTGGTTATAAGCATCCACTGGACTATCTGAGGTTTTACGCTACACCTTTGTTATGATTTGAATTTTACAAATTATTACTGATACTATTATGATGATAGTTTGTTATTGAAATCTGGCAATGAACTTGGAATTTTAAATCTTATATATATGTGGAAATATGCTATTTAAAATAGATCTGTTTCGTGAATAACTATAAACCACTTTTTCCATAAAAACACCGGCAAAACCACACACTTGAAGTTTTGGCCAGGAAACTTTTGCTTACCACCTACCTTCTTGTGATAGGAGGATGTTCACAACAGCCGAAGACCGGTATGCTACCTAGTATCTTTTCTTCCCCTTCTCGAGTGAATAAGCGCAAATATACGACTTGAATTCTCTTTATTTTTATACGACTTGGGTTTATCATTCTACTAAACGTCAAATACTTTTTCACAATTTATTTCACCTGAGCCCCAAGTTTAACTGTAAGAAAGCGATTTGGTTAAAAGCATCTACCGTTCCATTTATTTGAAGAGTAACAGCAATAATGACGTGTTCGTAACTAAAATAACTACAGGGCACGTACAAAAAAGGAGCACCCCCAGTACCTCTTGCACAAACGATATGTTTATCTCCTTAACATTAGATGTGCATACTGTTCAGTAATCTACAGTCAACTAATATATTTTAAAGTGCAGAGAACATCCAATATCCTATGTGAAAATAGTATAGCTGGGATCTCAATCATATGGTTTAAAAATTAATTTGCATTCCCTGCACCCGAATCAGATTCATATTTTGGTCAATTATCTTGCTTACACCTCTGTTATCATGCCTTAAAAAAGGAGTAAATCATAACTGGAAATATCATGTAATTATGTCAGGTTTTCAGTTTATTGAACTGACTGGAACGACACTACATAAATCAAAGAGTTGTGAAAAAATGCGTCTGACTAATGAAGTTTTACAGTTACTACAAAGTACAAGTAGGATTATTATATTGTAGGTGAGGGGAACTGGAAAAAAAAAGTTATCTCAGAATCATCACTACTTAAAAAATGTGGTACTTAATAGGTTTATCTGTAGATCGTAAGTAGCTTCAGTAACCGCCCCCTCCCAAAAAAAACCAGTTAAAATATCATTGGTAAACCACATCAATAAATTTCACATTACCTACCACTTGTATTCTTTAGGTACAAATCCACGAGACACTTCTTTCGCACCACATAGTTTGCAGATAAATACCTAACAGTTAAGTATTATTTTGTTTTCTTGTTACTTGATCAATTTGAAGTGGTGAGCGACGACGAGCAACTCTCTTTTTAATTCGAATAGCTTTTTCAGTAATGCTGTGCGCATGGAAGCAGCTCAAGCATACTGTACGGCAACATGGAGGTTCTACATAGCACAAAAAAGATGACTTATTAAGTGATCCATGAAAGCATTAAGCAATTGTATACATGTAGTTGTGGGTAAATACAGTACAGTATTTTAGGTTGCTTCATACAATAGGTAAGGTTCCTACTTATTTATTTGAACAAATGAATATTGGTACAAAGTAGCACCAAATACAAATGCGCCACACAAGTCAATTGATTTGTGTGTGGGCTGTGATACTATCCGGGTGTCCAGACCGAAGCAGGTGGTTTTCTTAGGGGGTCACACTCGGAGTCTTCGGCCTAAAGGTCTGATACGCAAGGCAGTGGGGCAACGTCAGGAGATGCAGTCCCATAGTATCCGGCGGCCATTTGTTCCTTCAGGATCCTGGAGCCCATATACACCACTGGTTTGGAATCAGGTTTTTTTAACTCCTCTAGGCGGACGACACTCCGTGTCCATGTAAATGAGAAGATATGAGTATGTATAAATGCAATCTTTCTCCTATATATTACCACCTTTGACCTAACTACTCCTATGAATCCGGTGTTCATCTTGCTGTGCTAATGAAGTATGGCAACCTGGACCGATGCATATATGTGCCTGGCCCTACGTTGTAGCTGACTGGCTGAAATGTAGCTAAAAATATTGATTCTAAGCTGATAATCAGCTAAGCTGGTTTTAACTGAAGGGACATTTACAAATTGTCTATTGCAAAAGACGACGTATATATGATCAATAAGACAAAAACGAAAGCTATCATTTCCTAAGGTGTAATCAGGAATGAGTGACACCCTACATTTACTACGATAACACGATGCTTAAACATCTAAAGGAAAATACTTTACAAGTTTTATGACCAGTTCCACTGCCATATTTGAAAAATCTTCTTTATAAGCTATGAGAACAAATAAATAGCTAATAAGTATACTCTGTATCAGGCAGAAAATTTGCAACTAACTTTTGAGTACTTCACATTCTTTAATTCTGGAGAACTCATACAACAATCTATAGATTGCAACAAGTTGGATATTTTAAACCAGTTACCGATTATGATAATGAGACAGGGCTGTATCTTTCGTAAGTTGACAAATCTTTTGAGTAAATATTAAGTTCCGTTTTCCCATACAACGCCTCTTCTTAAGTTCCTGGCTATACACAAGTTCAGAAAAGATATCTCAGTAGTAAAACACATATTACAAATAAACTATATTCAAAGAAACAACACATTTAATGTTTTCAGCTAATTTGGTTTGATTGGTATTGAATTTCCAGAAATTAATACTTTATAAATTAATATAATATATGATGGGAGTATTTAACTTATAATACTGACATTTCGTTTACCATAGAATGCATTTGTTTGTGCTATCTCAAGTTTCCTATGAACGTAAATAGTGAAAGTACAAACAATGAAGAAACAATCTGTTAACACCATTTAAATCCATATAATTTCAGATGCAGAAGTAGTAACAGTGCAGTGAAACTAAGTATTTTCGAAAAGTTTCTAACTCTACTGACAGATTTTCCCTCTAGTACTATAGGTATATTGAAGTGCTCTATTGTAAATCAAGAGTGTACGTGAAGTACACTGACATATACTTTACAAGTGCATCTGTATCCCCAAACAACATTATTAGGTAATTACTCCTCTTTTGCACACATTGTCATAGATAGGATGACATCATTCCTCAAGGTCTGTCGCAAATATAATAGTTTGGTGCAGTAGGTCTATATGTTGGTTAGTGCTTTGGCGTCGTTCAGTGGGAACTTATTACGGATGTTCTGGAGTTTATGAACGTAATAATTTGAAATTTTTCTAACACTGACTTATAGCATCAATCCGGACTTCTACTTTACGGCTGCGAAACGTGGCTATTAAGAAAAGATACTCGTCAGTTAGTAGTATTTGACCATAGATTCCTTATAAATATTGCTCGCATCTGTTGGGATTACCCAAAATGAACAATTTTCCCCGAAGTCAGGAGATCAATCACCAGAATTCTGGTGACTGGGTTTTCTAAAATCGAGAATTTCACAAGTATAGCATCAATAACTTTACTACCACTCTATCCAAAAGGCTGATAATTTGTGTCCGTCGTACTGTTGAATGTCAGTATGAAAACTGATGTATATATACCTTCAATAACCAGCTATCCTACACTACAACTGATATTCCTGAAAGTACTCACAAATTCATTTCAGGTTCCAGCCATCTAGGTCACACAACAGTAGCAACAGACTTGTAAATGTTACCTATAATCCAAAAAAATATAGTGAACTGACCGTTTCTTAAAATCCACTTTTATATTTTAAAAAATATTCATATGCGTGAAAACCACATATCAGGCATTGCAGAGATGATTTAATCTATGCTAGGAAAAACAAAAAGGGAAAATTTTTTGACAGTTTCAGTTTGGGAAGGACAGGAGGCTCAATGGCCTATGTTAGTCCTGGCAATGGTGGTCTCTCAGTTGATCCAACTTTCTTTTGAAAGCGTCGACGGATGTAGTCTCAACCACGTGTTGAGGTAGTGAATTCCACTCGTTGATGATTCTATGGGAAAGTCGATAGTCAGCTGACAATTAATTTGTTCTCGGCTTGTGAACTTTTTTGGAGTGTCCTCGTGAATTCTCTGTTTTGGAAGACAAGAAAAATGAGGGCATATCAGGTGCAAATTTATCACTAATCAATTTGTAGACTGTAATCAAGTCGCCTCTAGTTCTGCGATATGACAACGGGAAAAGGTTCAGCTTGGCCAGTTGAGATTCATACGGAAGCTTCGCTATTCCGGGAATCAGCTTGGTCGCCGTTCTCTGAACCTTTCTCAGAAGCTCACTGTCTTTTTTAAGCAGGGGCTAGCCGCTTGTATGCAGTTTAGGACGAACGAACACTGTATACAAAGTCAAAAACGTTTTAGCGTCGACATGACTAAAAGCTCTACGTATTGACCATAAGGTTCTAAAACCTTTGGCTGCTATTGCACGGCAGTGTGCAGTAGTCTTTAGGTCTTGGCTGACGATGATTCCTAAGTCATTATATGTCTGGACGACAGGTAGCTCAGTGTTATTCATCGTGTATGTATCTGTACCTTGATGACCGATATGAATCACAACACACTTGGAAGTATTTATCGGCAACTGCCATGTTTGGGACCATTCAGATAATTTCTTCAGGTCATTTTGGAGTTCTAAGCTATCACTCTTACATCGTATCGTTTTCCATATCTTGACATCGTCAGCATATAGCAAGACCGATGATGATAGGAGACAAGGAAGGTCATTTACATACAAGAGGAATAGCACTCGCCACAAAACTGTACCCTGGGGCACTCCACTAAGCACAGTTTCCCAGCTAGATAACTTTGAGTTCACCCTTACTCTTTGTTGACGCCCAACTAAGAAGTCTTTTAACCACATCAATAAATTGCCTCCAATCCCGAGTTTTCTTAACTTATATAACAGCCGGTTGTGCGGAACTTTGTAAAAAGCTTTACTGAAATCAATGAAGGCAACGTCCACAGGTAGCTTTTGGTCCTTAAGAGTGCACCGGCTTTCACGAGCCACTAATAAGTTAGCGAGACAAGAATAACCTATTCTGAAGCCGTGCTGCTTCTCCGAGAGGATCCGGTTTTTATTGAGATAATTAAACAGCTCCTTCCGAATAATCTTTTCCAAGATTTTAACAACCACACTAGTTAGGCTAACGTGGCGGTAGTTCTCAGGTTTGTGTTTCGTACCTGTTTTGAAGACAGGACTTATTATGGCGTTTTTCCAGTCTTTTGGTAAACGACCCGGCGTAACGGATAAGTTAAAGCATGCACTTAAAGGGCTTGCAACGAAGTTAAATAATTCCTTCAGTAGCCTAGGATGTAATTCATCGGGCCCCGTGGATTTACATTTGTCAAGCTTATTTAGCAGACCAAAGACATCGAGTTCTTTAATGGTCACGCTATCCAGTGTATGCATGGGGGATCTGTATACGCTGAAAATATTTATTAGGTTTCATTAAACTAATATTTAGTTGCTCTTCTAGAAATATTAACGATCCCAACCCTGAGTAAAAGAGGAGTGTTAAGCACGGAGTGAGCAACCCCGTTCGATAGAAAAAATTCTTGCTAAAAAACGCCAGCCAGACTGAACAAATTACACCATTTATACTCTTCCCCCGAGTTCAAGGAAGAATTATGACGCCTCATGATGGAAGTCGAGATTCTTCACACGTCACAACGTCGATGTCGCTTCTAACAACCAGAGCAACAACTTTCGTACTTATACGGAATGTTCGGACAATGTGGGGGGCTGGGAGGACCAGTCAAATAGCAACGAAAGTGAGGAGAAACAACTTTACGGTCTTAGGAATAAGTGAAACCCACTGAACCTAAGCTGGATATCAAAGGCTAGATACAAGAGAGATGCTACTATACTCCGGTCACGAAGAGGAAAATGCTCTACACACCCAGAGAGTCGCTCTAATGATGTACAAGGTAGCACGAAATGCACTTGTAGGATGGGAATCTCACGGATCTAGAATCATCAAAGCATCATTCAAAACAAAGAAGAAGTGAATCACGATGAATGTTATCCAATTTTATGCACCCAACAATGATAGCAATGACAACGATAAAGTTCAATTTTACGAGACACTGTAATCGTTCATGGAGAAGTTCTCAGGAAAGGTCCTGACCATCCTGATGGGAGATCTAAACGCCAAAGTCGGAATGGATAACACCGGATGTGAAGATATCACGAGACAACATGGACTGACTGAGAGGAAGAAATGAAAATGGGGAGAGACCTTCAAATTTATATGCGTTCAACAAGATGGTTATAGGTGACACATTTTCACCCACAAACACATAGACAAAGCTATATGGGTCTCACCGGATCACATTATGGATAATCAGATCGATCATATTTACATCAGTAAAATATTCACAGGGTCAATGTATGATGTGAGAACCAGGAGACAAGCTGACATAGCTTTAGATCACCACCTGGTGATTGCCAAGATGAAACTGAAGCTAGAGAAGCATTAGACAACTGGAAAAACGGCATTACAATGTTTCAATACAGCCCTCCTTCGAGCTACTGACAAACTCAACGAATTCAAGATAACTCTCAACAAGAGTTTAAAGCTTTATAGGATCAATTCTCAGAAGAAACTGCTGTGGAGGGTAAGTGAAAGAGGATTAAAGAAGCACTAATTACAACTTTTCAGGAAGTTCTAGGTTGCAAGAAGCATCATCATATGGAACGGATCTCTATGGAAACCCTGGAGAGGATTCAAGAAAGGAAGAACATTGAGACAGTAATTAACAACAACCGAACAAGAGCAAAGGAAATCAAGGCACAGTCCGAATGCACCGAGTCAAACAATCAGGTCAAGTGGAGCATTAGAAACGAAAGGCAGAAATATGTGGAAGAACTAGCAACGATAGCGGAAAAAGCTGCAAGAGAAGGAACCCATATGACACAACGAAAAAACTGGCAAGCAAATATAGTAAACCACAAAGACTGGTCAAGGACAAGGAAGGCAAGACAATCACTGAGGTCCAAGAACGGAGGAACAAATGGATGGGATAATTTGAAAAAAGTCTTGAATAGATCAGCTCCACTGAATCCACCAGACATCGAAGCATCACCTATCAACATTCCTATAGGTGTCACTGCACCAACAACGGAAGAAATCAGAATGGTCATCAGGTGAATCAAGAGTGGGAAAGCAGCGGGACCTGACAATAAACCAGCTGAAGCTCTGAAGTCAAGAATAGAAGAAACTGCAAGTATGTTTCATGTTTTATTCAGGAAAATTCGGGTGGCAGAACAAGTGCCACCAACACACTCGAAAGAAGGACACCTCATCAAGATTCCAAAGTAAGGAGATCTGAAAGAATGTGAGAACTACAGAGAAATCACACTACTGTCAGCACCAGAAAAAGTTTTCAACAGAGTGCTGCTGAACCGGATGAAAGACGCAGTAGACGCTCAGCAGAACGGATTCCGTAGCGATCGGTCGTGCACATGATCATCGTTGAACAATCAGCTGAGTGGAATTCGTCACTATACACCAAATTCATTGACTGTAAGAAGGCGTTTGACAGTGTGGATAAGAGGATATTATGTAATCTTGTTTGTCACTATGTGCAACAGCTGCATTCCACAACTGAAGAATATATGGGACTCAAAACAACTGTCAACCAATGTCAATGTAACAATCTTCAATACGAACGTCAAGACAGTTCTACTGTAAGGAGCTGAAACTTGGAGAACTACCACAACCATTATCAAAATGTACAAATATTTATAAACAGTTGCCTACGCAAAATACCCAATGTCTTTTGGTCGGATACCATCAGCAACAGCCTCCTGTGAAAGAGCTTCGGGAGTTTTGATTGAGCCAGGGGGACGACTGGTGTGTCTAATCACCTTAGATTTCCGGAACCTTACACAAAATCGCGCCCGCTCCCTCACTTCTTTATTCATAACAGGCAAGATACGAGATTGATGGTTGCCCGGACACCTGAATGAGATAGTTTGTGCAATGTATTGGGGATGTTGCATCGATAGTGTTTCGGCAAATTTAAAGGGTCCCTACCAAAAAGTGTGCCATATTGCAAAGTTTCACTACCTATCCTCTCTGTTTAATACGTTGTTCCAGGGTTGTGAAAGATAACTCGTGTTGAATATCAGTGTATTCTTTTTGAAGCGGGGCGAGTTTATGTAGGTCGATTCCATGTAAAATGTTCAAAGAACTTAAACGAGAGCGGGCGTCTGCAACTGCGTTGTTTACTCCAGAAATGCACTGCATTTCAAAAGTAAACTTCGAAATGTAGTCCAGTTGTCGAGATTCCTGAAGAAAATAGTTGTCTGAAAACAAGCTTAGAGTAAAAGTATGAAGCTAACTGTCGGTGAATGGGGTGCATTGTTGACCTTTCACAGTGTTAAAAGTGCCGCAAAACACAAAATGCGGCTTGGAGTTCCTTGCCGAAAGTGTTATGCCTTGATTCAGCATCTTGCATCCATCCCGTAAAGAATGTTAAAGGTTACCAGATGTTGTTTACCCGCTATTGAGGAACACCTACGACTGTCGAGTTGGATGTGTATAACGCGTTACTATTGGTTGCCTTGATGCCATAGAGTGCTAGCATAGTTGGGTCTGGCGGGGGACACAAAATCTAGTGTGAACCATCGATAAAAA